AAACATTTCATTCAACTGAGGTTTCGTTCTATTTTGATTCCACAAGATATCAACAAAACAGTAAAAACAATATCAAAATTTTTTCAAACAATAATTCGTCATCAAAGTTTCCAGGAGTATCAACAGCAAAAATTTCTGGATTTTTACAAAATACACTTTTGCAAATTCAGGAAGTTTCGAGTATCAAACATTCGCGATTTTAGGCCAAAAACGCTAAAAAATGCTAAATTTTCTTCCTTCATAAGTTCCTTTGAATTCTTCCCTTGAAGTAGCCAGCAAAAGACAAAGGCCTTGCCCGGCTTCCCTTCAAATTCTTCTTTTCTCTGAGATCCTCTGAAAGGGACTTGTTGAAAAGTTATAGTGAAGTTCTTCTCTTTGCTTAGTTTAATGAACAATGTCTTATAAAATTTGGTACAGACTAAAGAATTGGTATAATTTTAAGTTCTCTTAATGATGTTAATAAAATTGTAGGTTACTTAATTATAAACAAGATACTAACCTAGACAAATGAAGACAAGATACTAGCCTACAGAATTTCTTTCTTGGCTCAAATTCAGAATATTCCATATATTAGGTTCGATTGACAAGATTGCTAGAAACGTTAAACTAGGATTGGTATTTTGAACTGTAATAGGAGTTTCTTGGAGTTACAAATAGAATAGAACATTGATTTGCTGTTATTGTGCAATGTTTAACTGTATAGAATCCTTGATTTAAATAGAGTACAGCACCAATCAATAATTGATTTGAACTGAGCGTATTTTAGGCTTTGCTTTTATTAGTGGGTGTGACTCAAAATCTTTATTTGTCATACTCTGGTTTACTAGCTACCCTGTAATTATGATACCAGACCGCCTCTGTTTATAAGACTTTTGAGAAACCAACAGCTACCGTATTTCTAAATTTTGTCACAAATCGGAATGCAAATCAATGTAGTTAAGCCTGCTGTCCATAAATGATTGAGACTTGAAACATTTCGAACCTCAAGCGTGACTTTTTTTCTAGTACACTAGGGTATCAAAAATATTGCACCACCTCGAAGGAGGAGAAATGGCGCATGAATGATCGACAGCTATTGTTATGCAAATTAATTCTGTTTTTAATTGGCGAATGGCAATTGGTCGAAAACAAAACATCCACCAATCAAAACTTCAATCTATTTAGAGCATTTATTTAAAAAAATAACAGTAGCAAACGCCTTTTAATAGTTTCAAATTTCAATATTATGACGGGTAGCCACAAACTTTTGAAACCGCAAAAAGCCTCCTTGAAATGGATCCATACATTTGGTAAACGTATTCTTGTGGAATTTCGTATTAGGCCCGGAAACCTCTTGCAATTAATGATTTTCTGGTTTTTGGAACACCATTTGGATCACGGTTTGTTACCTTTTTATCTGAAGTCAAACTTTTTAAGTGATGTTAAAAATTGGACTTAACTCTAACTACACTCCCCTCCCAAAAGTCTTCGAACGGAAGCCAATGTTGCGACGGTGCCAGGTCAAGGCCACGCCATTAGGCCTAACGCAACCCTAGACCATCACTGAAATTTTTCCCTTTTCTTACATTTGGCCGAAAGAACTTTTAATTATTTCCTTTTCCAGTTGTTTTTTCGGATTGGGAAGGCTTCAGAGTCATTTTTCAACTAAATTTACACTCGTTCAAAAAAACATTATCGCCCCGGTCGGCGAAAGGTCGTTCCTTTATAACTTTAACTGTTTTGCCGGTGATTGGGACTATTTGGTGAAAAATCAAGCTTTCATGCTAGGGCACAATTTATAATTACGTATTTCGATAGAGTATGCCTAATTTAGTTGTTGAGGCGATTTTGGTCACAAAACTTCAAAGTTACTCGCTATCTTCACTGCTTTGAAATAAACAAACAAGTTTCTTCGCAAACCCTGCTACAATTAGTTGGTTCCTATATGAAAACTTTTTTTGACCTGCCTGTTCTTAACTTTTTCTCCAGTAAACTGCTTTTTTGCTTAAGTTGCAAATTCTTTGGGTAGTAGACTTCGTGTAGCCCACTTGTCATCATATGATGACCTGCCTGGGGTAAAAACTTTATTACCATTTGCTTCCATTTGCTTAGCTTCATCCATATTTTGTGTTTTGACTAGTGCCCAAAGATAAACATTTTTTGCGCTATTGAGAAAATTTTTCCCAGTTAACTTTTTCCAAAAAGAATTTTTGCTTGTTTATATATTTATTTTGCTTATTTTCTGACGCCATTGTTTTATTTTGCCGCCAAAATTTGATCTTACTTTTTTACTAACATGCCATTTGTAAGAATTAGGCCCAAAATTTTGCCCGGCCGTTCGAATATTTGGGAGGGGAGTGTATGTCAAAGCTTTAATTTCTTTTGTTTAGAAATAATTCTTTGTAAAAATGGTTTCCGTTTACTCGGGTAAATTTTTCCTTTGTATTTGTTCAAAACCATCATTATTTTTTCTGTGGACGGATTTTGAGCTACAAAACCTTACCCAGTTTCGAGTTTCATTTCTTTTACTGCCCCTAGGTGTAAACGCAGTGAAATGAAACCGACAAATTCGTTCCCCTCTAACATCAATTTATTTTTGGTCGCTCACTTCTTGGTTTCTTTACTACTGTAACACTCTCGAGAAATCTTTTTTATTTCCCGCAGCTGTTGTGTAGCTGCATCTACCTTGGTCAACATTTTTTTGAAAATTGAAGACCACTTCCTCATAAATATTTTATAGCGACTCGACTCTCATTTGACAATTTTGCTTCCTTAGGCATGGTCTACATTTTTACAAACAAAAATGTCTTTGCGTAATTTAAACATATCTAACTAAGTTTTCTATGGCGTCAGCAAAATTTGCAAACTTTTCCCGCCGAAATTTGCCATAAAATACGCCTATTTCACCCAGTTCTTGCATCAAATGTTTTGTACTGCCAACAAGTTTACAAAAAGTGCCGCCATTTTGATCAAGGTGGTGCAATACTTTTGATACACTAGTGTACAGTATAATTAGATATCAAGACGTTTCTAGTAATTGGTAAAGCTCTTATCAGGTGATATTAATTAATAGTTGTTCTTTCATGTCCAATTCTGTGTTTAAAATGAATCTTGATGCTTTCATGTCCCCTTTTCGTTCCCTTTCATTCATAAATCATAGGAAAAATGCGCTGTTGCAAGAAATATGATAAAAGATAGACTAAACACCATCAAACTAAGGGACGTACAATCACATTGCTACGTGTATGAGAAGCAGTAAAATATGGTTCAGACCTGGTGTACGAGATTTTATCAAATCTTCATGGCTGGATTGTTCTTGACTTATTTTTAACAAGGGTTTTAAAAACATAGGATATATCCTTGATAGCAACTCCCTGTCATGAAAGATTTATCCTTTATAGCAATGTACTAGCAATATCCTGACACTTTTTCATTTAAACGTACATCATTAAAATTTACAGTACTGTATCACATTCTAAAGGCCTGTCTACACGGTCATATATTTGTTCGCGAAAATCATCACACATTTGTTTGACAGTGTTAGCAGCAAATGTTGGATCCTGTTGACGATCTTGCGAACATACTTGAATAACGCCTAACATGTGTGAAGATGTTCATATGTTAATTGGCACGGTAATTCTTCCCAACAAATGTCAACGGTTGTTCGAGCTCATCTGCCCAAATTGAAGGAAGACTCCAGCCTTTGGAAAGAGATCGTCAGCGGCGATCATTATTAATTGAGGATGTTGTAAAGAACGGTGGCTGGGAAAATCAAAGCCTTGTTGATTTTTGAAATGCTATGAAACACCTTCAAGAATAAGTAAGTCTGACACTTATCGAGCTAAACACAACAGGATTACCACAAACTACGGCAACAGTCGAAGGAACATACTCGAAGATAATATCAACAAAACAAAGTTAAGAAATTGTCTTGCAGTGAATATATTAGAGTCAATTGCAAAATTTAGTGAAAATTTACAACCAATTTTGACATTGATGAGCACTATTTTTGTTTACATGCAAATGCTAGAAATTCATGCATAGGATGGTATACTCAGAAGTAGCTTGATAATATTGAAAATAATACAGTATTTGTACATGTTACAGAACATGTATATAACAAAATTTCAGTACACGATGTGTTGTTTTTCAAATATTTTCTGCATATTTTTGTAGGAATTATGGGGGAAAATGCAGAAATTTAGGGTAATGTTGGGGAAAGCAAGAAGACAGCAGTTGGGAAATGTCGGGGAAAAGCACATGCGCCATAGCGGACTATAGCATACGTCGAGTAAAAGCACTGATTGGAATGCATGATGGCTCTTGAGCAAACAGTGGAAAGAGGGACACGCTAAGAAGTTGTCCGCTAAATTGCAATTTATGAAGAATCGAATTTTCACCATTAGCTCAAGAAAAGAGTCCAAGTCTATCCTTAACCAAATTTCTTAATTGGCCTGAATATGACTCTTGAAAGTCCTTGGATAGGTTTTTGTCTGACACTCTTCAGAGCATAGATCGTTAGAACACTTGAAACGTTAGACCATAGATCGAAAACTAGAGTTTTATACCACCAAAAGATTGTTTGAAAGTCAACTATTTTTGACACCAAATATTTAGTTTATCTCGTCTAGATTGCTCTTCGGTTCTGCGATTTCAAGTCACGCATACTGCTATGGCAGCACAAAAAAGCAACATTAGTTGCTTTTCTTCCATATGGCAGGGCAAAAAAGTAAGTTGGTGCCAAAATTGTTTTGGACAGTCTCATACAATGTTAAAAAATGTTGTGTTGTGTGGACAGAACGCACCACAAAGTTGGACACTGTCATACAAATGTAAGATGATGTTCATGAAAGAATGTATTATCGTGTCGACGGCCTCAGGCTCAGCGTTTTTTATTTTGTCCCTAATTTTATTTACGAATTTTGAAGCCCGCGATCTTAAAGACGTTTTTGTGCAAATGGAAAAGAGATCTTGGAAAGAAAATCTCTATAATTTTCCGATTAAAAGTGATGAAAACTTACCATGATGCTTTTCATGCCATTCTCTTTCAATAAAACTTTCCTCTTCTTCTTCTTCGATTGGGCACTTGTAACAGGAATTTGTGTCTTCCTGTTGTGAAATATCTTCTAAAGATTTTAACGAAAGATCAATGCTTTTGAACTTGACGGGATCCAAGCTTTGGAAGCGTCGCAAAATTGCAGCCGTTTGTCCGTTAAGCTTGTTTTCACTGCGACTTAGCCATCTCAAGGAAGCCAAATTGTTGCTGTGCTCACAATAAAAATCTGAATATGAGCCATGAAAATGAATTGATTTTGTCATTGGCCTCATAAACATTCCCTCGCTGGCTCTTCGAGATCTCGCCTGTGGGTCATTTGCATCGTTGACATTCTTACTGTTACTAAAAAGGTTCGCACTGAAACGCCTCTGTCTGCCTTCTGATTTTCGATTCCTGGGTGCTTTTTTTGGCTGGTCAATATCATCAGAAAAATCGTAGAACAACTTTCGCACTGAAGTGTAGGGTACGTGGTTCCTTTCGCTTTCGTGCACCGAGTCACCTCCCATCTTGTGAAAAACCACGAATTCTTACTCTCTTGAATCAGACGATGAATGGATCTTTGGTTCTCAATAAAACCCATGCAGGGACAAGTAACGCTCTTTGTATGATGTCATTAACATCGTGTTACAAAAAACGTAAACAGATCCACTATATCCTCGAAATTTGAGTGTGAAATTCAGATCGGGAGTGCTACTTCCAATGCAACAAGAACAGGCCTAGTTCTGTAAGGCCAAGGTTATCAGCTCTTGGATTTCCCAAATAACAATCTCCTTGAGAATTTCTTCACAGTGCAGACAGCCAAGTAGCGTCAATTTTCAAAAGCGTGGACAACCTAGACAAGGTCTGTAGCTCTTCTTCATTTGAAGCAATTAAAGAACTCATATTCTAAAGTGATTTGAATAAATGACTTCTTTTTACTCAACATCAACCGCCAAATCATTTGTCAATTGCTGCTTTATTGACAGTTAAAAGCAATTATTTTTTAACGACTGCCACTACAAAAAGCGTGCCCGAGTTCGCTACAAGCAGGGGCGTTGTGGCTCCTAGAAAAAGGCCGGGAGAAAATGATTATAATGGGGCCGCTCTTTTGTCTGACATCTCCGTTTACAAGCTTAAGGTCGCCAAAAATGGTCGTAACTGGAAACAATGCACCCATGAAATTAAAAAAAGCTACCAGTTTTTATCATTTGTGAAAGGCATTGAATAGGAATTGGCTGGATTACAATGGAATAAAATGGATTGGGTACACCCTGAATTCTAAAATCTGCCGATTGGGTACACCCTGATTTTTATGACTGTGATGCTATTGGTTAACGTGGAACTGGTCACATGAACGCACCTCGTATTGATTGACAAAACAATTTTCATCAATAGCAAGTTCTCAACAACGGATGCAAATATCACATGAAAAAGCAGCGATCACGTCAAAACCAAACGACCCCCTATAGAAAAGGCCTATTTACCATGACCAATGTCTTTAAGGAGCATTTACCATATTTCTCTAATCATAGTCTCTTCAAACGTCACATGGAGTCCCCAAATCAAATGATGTTCTGCAGCAACACTCTTCTTGCTTTATCTTTTACTAAATCTACATTATAGTTTTCTACGTCCTTCTCCATTTCTACGAGTTAATCATTTCCATTTCGACAACCCTTTCCCCCTTTTTGGCAGCTAAATTTTTATGCAGCTGCTTTGTCAGGATCTAAATCAAAACAAATTTCAGTTGAGAGAAGAGCACCAGATCAAACACACTTAGAACGGTAAGAACAAATATGGTCATCGATGGTAATACAAATGCTCAAAAGGAAAATGCTTCCATGATGGTGTTTTGTACAGAAGTGTTTAGGTTTTATTGACAAAATAATAAGATCAAGCATTAAAAACAGTCCTGCCTATTCCTTTTGCTTTGAAAAAGTTTTGACGTCCTTCTTTTTCCCGTTTGTACAGCACCTACGTGTTTTTTAGCTGGGACCATTCCGTAGTGCACTCCTCGCATAAGCCCCTATCCGAGACCTGCCTACACTGGTAAGCCTTCAGGAGGGTGCTTCGAGGATTTATGGTATTTCCGAAAGTAAAAGCTTTTCCACCAGGTTCTCAAAACCTCATTATAGCGGACCATCTTCTGTGTGACTTTCATGCCTTTCATTTTCCACGTACACCTTTCACGGGGCCCTGTTTGTATGCGCTGATCTTTAAGTTTCTTATCCTAAACTTAGAACTTAAGTCTGTAAATGTAAATGAGGAATATTTGAAACTTATGATGAGTAAATTTTAGTAAAACCTTGTCCAGATTATGTGATGAGAAGGACTCCATAAAATGGCTATTGTCATTGTGAGATACAGATGTTATTTAGCTGGTGAACTGAAATCATTTGAACCCGACAACGGCTTGCTTTCAGCCTATTAAAAAACCTTCAAGCTTTTGCGCTGCTCTCAAATCAATAAACTATCCATGCAAATTTTTTAATCTTGATATGTCCGTTTAGGAAATAATCACAAGTTTATTTCGTCCGCTTTTCTTGCGAGCGGAAAATATAACTGCTATTGCGAAATCCAGGCAAGAAATACAAGCCAATACGCACCGACAAAAAAGGGCTTTAATGGGCATGGCTCTACTTTTTTTCGAGGGAGATTTTGCAGTTGGCATTTATGTACATATTGTGTCAGAATTTTGAGCCAAAATGGGCCATCAAGCTAAAATGGAAGAATAACAGAGTGCCAATTCCAGGATTCCTTCTTTGCTTTATTTTGCAAGCAAATAAGTTAAAGCTTTGGTTTTGAAGTTATCTTAAAATAGAAATGTCTGAGTAAGGAATGTTGTGCAGGAAGACCTTTTTAGGCCAATATTTTTCAAAAAAGATTCTGGGACAATCTCAAACGAATGTTGAATAAAAAGAAGAGCTGTCATTTTAATCTTTTCTGAATTATTTATCCTATCGAATGGCGTTGTGAATTAAAATAAAGACACAGTTATGAATTAAATGCTTGTGACAAAATAGTAAGGAATGATTTTCTCGTATCAAGTTTGAAAATTAGTGAGACGTGGTTGCTCGCAAAGGCCGGTGCACGTTTTTCTACCTTGGCTATTTTAGTGATTTGCTAAAATTTCCTTTGTTTATCTATTCTAGTTATAATCACATAGATTGCAAGGTACATCCCGGAAAGAAACGGCTGAGAATTTTCTAGGAAAGTTGATTTTTTATCTTTCCTTTGAAAAAAAAACTTTTCCCCTCCCCCATTTCAATGATGAATGCATGATTTTGTAGAAGAGATGATAGAACTAATAATCCAACATTGCTTTGGGGGGGGGGGAAGGGGGGACTCGAATTTACAGGGGCAAGTAGAACAAATAAAAGTAGAGTATAAAATTGCAAAAATTGTATTTTGTCTCAAGAATTTTGTCCGGGATTGTAGCATGCAGAGCCGTATTTTATTGTCTAGCAGACAACCCTAATTTAATTTGAAATCAGTGACACTGTTTACGCTTACAAAATTAAACCATGCTCTTCCACAATATGATTTTCAGTATAACCTATACAGAAAAATCATAAGATATAAGAATTATGAAAACCTCAAATGGAACTGGCCACATAGCAGAATTTTCTAATTTATATTCGGCGTGTGCTAGAAATTGACATAATGACCAGCAAAATTTCGTGATTCAGCTGAAAAATGACGAAGAACGTAAATTTTGGGATAGAAGGCCACCATCACTTTTCAAAACATTTGTATTTTTTCGTTCCTACAGAAGTAAATCTAAGTCTAATCAGTAACGTGGGAAAATCTCAATGGGCCCCTTCAGTTCTGAGGAAAACGCCTAATTTCCATAATAGCACCCAATGTTTCATAAAAAAATGTTTCTTGGAAAGAATGTTTTTTGTGTATTGATTAAATATATTATCATCATTATACATATACTTCGTTTTTGTCATACAAAGCATGACGATGAATGTTCCATTTCGCCTAGGATTGGTGTTATCGAGTATTAGCAAGTTTCTATGGAAAAAAATGTAAAGAGCCAATTACATAGCATATAACCTAAACATGAGAAATTCTTAGCCATTTTCCCCTGGAACTCAAGAATAAAGCCTGTTATTTTCAACTAAAGCTTAAAGATAACAAAACAGCATGATAAGAGTCAGTGTAGGAGAAATGATAAGCATTTTAGGGGCCGTTGTTTAAGTAAGGTCATTGACAATTTGGAGGGTGGTTCTAATCATTCTCTGAGAGCATATGAGTGAGAATAAAGCTCATCGGATAGAATTTGCCTTGGACAAGAAAAATCTCTCTTTCTTTTGCCTTTGAGCTGACATGTAGTTTTGATAAAAGCGTTCGGAATTGTAGGCGAACAAGGCCCCCAAAGCCCTGACAGTCTGAATTTAATTCTAATTCTAGAGGTCTGAATATAACTTGCCTTATATTGGAATTAACATGTGCGCGATTTTGTAAAAAACTCTAATTGAAAACAGTTATTGCACCAGCGGTAGATCTCTATCCCGCATGTTGAATAATTGACAACTTTATAAAAGTAGCTATTAAAGTTAGCTAATTATTCACAATATACTTTGAAGAACAGGGCTTCGAATATATCACACATTCATTTTGTGGACAGTGTAAGCCGTTTTGAAAAGTATAATGAAAAGTAATTGATATATTTAAATAGATTTGTTTGTTTAGTTTCCACTTTTCAATCAAATATCACAAATAATTAATCCTTCATTTGAATTGTTCATGGGTGCAATTACAGTGTTCTTTTTGAATATATTTAATGTGTTTTTTTAATTAGGTTAGTAACATTCGAGTAGGGAATACCTAAAGCGTCAAAAGCGCCAATGCCGCATGTTAGAAAATTATTTTTTTATTTCGGTTATTTGTGTAAAGACGATTTTCTTAAACTGCCAAAATTCCACTGAAGTTGATCTTTTTCACCCATTGCTACAGAAGCGGTTCCAGACAGTTCCGGATTTCGCAGCTGCAACTGTTACATTTATAGGAAATGATTTATGTCAGATTCTTGTAATTTTCACAGATAGAGTTTGATAATCAAGTTCCATGTTTCTGGAACTTGCAATTTTTTATATCGGTGAAAGTTCCAGGAATGACACTTTAATTACCCAATAGCGACATCACTTGCGAGGGCGGAGAACAGAGCACATGCATTTGTCTTATTGTCTTTCACAAGGTGTTCAACAACTGTTCACTGTTTTTTCATTCCAGGCTATTTGCTTCTATGTTGCTAATGCTATTGTTCAGGAAAGATTGCTTTTTGATGCAAATTCAAATTCTTATGACAAAAGTAGCAGCCCACAGAACAGAAAACATGCATTTGCCTTAATGTCTTTAACAAGGTGTTCAACAACTGTTCACTGTTTTTGATTCTGGGCTATTTGCTTCTATGTTGCTAATGCTAATGTTCAGGAAAGATAGCTCTTTTGATGCAAATTCAAATTCTTATAACGAAAATTGACGGCCCACAAAAAATAGCACATGCATTTGTCTTAATGTCTCATTCAAATTGATAAACAACTTTTCACTGTTTTTCACTTCAGGCTACTGTTACCAACCTATAATATTGATTCAATCTTTTGCTTATACTGCTGTTCAAAAAAGATATATCTGTTTTTAGTTGTTACTGTTATTAAACCTTTGCACCTTTTTCGTTTGCAAATCTGCAACCGTCAAATTTTTTTCTGGATCCACCCCGGTGCTGAACTGCTAATTTTTTATTTTCAATTTCATGTATCCCCATTAGATCTTGCTATGCTGGTTTGCTACTCAGTTTTCCTAAAAAATTAATCTAAGTCTCTCACTAGCATAACAGTGAAGGACTAATATCACTGTTTGGAATGGGTAACAGAATTTTGGTGTTAGGTTTAAAAGCTTAAAGAGCAGTTTTGCAAGTAGGACTTAACAAGCATTAAATTATTAGCATCATAGAAGCATTAAATTAAATAACAAACGCATGTCCAGACCTGTCAACAAATTCAAAAAAATGTCCGAATACCCGAAAATGTTTATTTATCAAAAAAATTTAACTAGAATACATTCAAAAATAGGCGCAGGTCTAAACTTGTGAAACAACTGAAAAATAGCCTAATTTCTCAAAGCATATTTTGCGTGCAAACCATTCTGATATATATATTGATCCACATTAAAGCATATATTGATATATATTGAACAGGTCGAGACATATAAAGAAACACAAAAAATTAACCAAAATATCTCAGAATACCTTTATCGTCCAAAATATCATGAACTCTATAGATCTTTGTCTAAAACGACATTATTTAAAAATCATTATCCACAAAAATTTAAAGAAAATGAACTTTGATAAAATCAAGATAAAGCACAGGTCAAGACAGGTGAAACAAACTGAAAAAATAGCCAATATTAGGCTGAATAACAAGCTATTTGCAAGGCTTCCCAACAAACATTAGGCCCGGAATTTTCGAAGGTTTTCAGGAAAACAAACTTTTGACCATAACCAAACGCCAGCGGTCTATTTTCGGTATGTCGATGACACTTTTGTCATCTTTAGCTCAGAGTAGGAATGTGACTGTTTCTTTCAAGAACCTAGTAACTTCATCTTGAACTTACAATTGGAAAGGAGCATAGTAACTCCTTGAGTTTCCTTATATTTCGGTGCACAGAGAAGGAACTGCATTTCTAACCAATGTTTACAGAAAGCCAACGTTTTTGTGTGTTTTCTTTATTTCAAAAGAAAGAAAAATGCTCTAGTTGAAACCAAAGCACGCAAAGCACTGGTGATTTGCTCCAAAACTAAATTTTGTCCTGAGCTTGATAAATCATAGGAATTTGCAGAATAGATACTAAGAAGATTTCATCCCGGTAATTTCACGGCTGGGAAAGTTTGGTCCGGAAAAGTGCCCTGTCTATTTAAAAAAAGGCCATGGATTTGCAATTTTTCATAACATTTGAAAGTCAAATAAAAATGGCAATATCCAGCTATTTTTCCACTGTGAAGCCTCGTTTGGTCTATAGTACTAGGGTTGTGCTGTTATTTTTATGTTACTTGACAAGTTGGATATACGCAGTCCTTTTGAATGGACACATTACCTTACATGAATTTTCGTGCCGATATGAAGCTCGGTAGGTAGAATTGATAACCATCCATAAACAGAATGGGTTAAGGGATTGATATCTTTGTTGATCGAAAATCTTTTAATTTTGCTATAAAGTAACAACACACCACACACAAATAATAGGTAAGTCTATTTTGAAATGGCCGAGCAGCCAATGCAATTTATATTAACTTTCAGATTTTCAAACATCTTTCGACATTCTGTCTCATAAGCATATCAAAATAACAAGCACACTTTTAAGAAAACATCAAAGCTCAATATTTCTGAATATGAATGCCATTCTTCCACAAATTGAGAGTGAGTTGTTTAGCAAATTTAGACAATAACATACATATACGAGAACATTTGTTTGAGAAACGAGTTGTATTGGATTCTAATCAAATATAAAACGTCAATATAAAATATTACACTCACAAATGATGAATTGTAATTCCCCTGTCCTTTGATATTCAAGTACATGAAATAAGTGCAGGAAATAAATGCAATTATAAGCGCGACCAGGAGGAAAACAGACGGCGTAAGATCAAATCGTTTACACTTGTTTTCATTTTTCAAGTAGTCGTAATCACATACTAAAGTGCCTGCATTACTGATAGTTTTACATGCAAGATACATGCAACCAAGAGATGATACGGCAGCAATGCTGCAGAAAAAACCATTGGCCACCACCTGTAGAAATATTAACAAGTAACATTAAAAAGTTCTGAAATCAGTATAGAAAGTTTTCTATCCCGTGCAAACAACGTGATAAGAAATACAGGGTTTAAACATTCAGAACTTGACAAAAATTTCAGTATAGAAGAAGTAAAGATAAAGATTCAGGGATATATGTAGAAAAGCAAAATATATTATTAATGGTGGGAACAAAAATAAATTTAATTGAAAAAATCAACTTTAGAGCAGCTGCAACAGAACATGGTTTATACAGTTATTGAGATACTTCAGTCTGGCAGTGGTCGAATTAGCCCCTTCCAAAGTGAACATGACTCCAGAAATGTACCTTGAAAGTTTCGTAGTTTTAAAGAAACAGAAGAGAAAAGACCTTTGAAATAAAAAACTTGGCGGAATGTTTGGCAATCAAACGTTAAATGAAATTAGCCATGATATTTTCTAGCTACCAATGCTTGAAATGCTGTTATAAGAACCTAACTTGTTAGACCTGCCTGGAACTTCCTTCAATGACAGCCACTGTTTGCAATAGTATACCAAACAACCATAGGCGTACGGGGTGAGTTCAGGTGGGGAGGGGCTGAAATTTTTTGCCCGAAAAATAATAACGCCCAAATTTTTAAGTAGTATACTTTAACACGTGTGAGCTTCTAATATTGGTCAAGAAATGATTAAAATGCAACGTAATTAGTATACTGTTAACTAATAAGCATTTTTAAAACTTCACACATTTTCATTAAAAAAAAGAAAATCTCTTTCATGGCAGCGACGAAATATATTGATTATTTTATCGATATCTTTTTGTTAACATGATTTGCATCATTTTCAGCAATTCACACACTTTTTGCTTACCTACCTATTCTTGTGATTATTGAACAGTTTGTGTTCCATTTCTAGGAGGTCAGAAACTCATAATCTATTTGGTAGAAGGAGCAAACCTTTATGATGATTTCTGTCGAAGGGTTAGTATTCACGCTTGCATTCCCTTGATTTAGCGTTTTTCAACTTTTTTCTACGGCACATTATTTGCTGAAAGTTATTAATTATTTTTCAATTTTTTAAACCAATTAAGTAAAATTGGAGAATTTTCCACGGCACACCAGGCAATACCTCAAGGCATGCTAGTGTGTCATGACACAGTTGTTGAAAACATTGCCTCAGTTTGATAACCAAGGGCCCCCGGCGAAAAGGGGCCCAAAGTGCTTTTATGTCAGTATTTAAAGCTTTGCTCAAGTTCAAATAACTTTTGAAAACTTTGAAAGTTCTTCAATGGAAGCTCTAAAACTCAGTTCCCTCTAGCTAACGAGATAATAATTCTCATTTTTATCTTTTTATATTGTGTTTGACATGCTCTAAAACCATTGAATGCTTGCTGTCTGTGAATAGTTTTTTGTCCCGTAACAGTTTTTTGCTTAGGGCCCAGCTTTGTCCCTATTACCTATATGAAGGTTCATGATCAACTTTTCTCTTGAAATTACATGTCTTTTGGTGTTGACCTCAGTGAAATTGTAGAGACCTTGAACAACACCAAGTCCATTTCTCATTGACTCACTTTCTGCAAGATTCAACTAATGTCCAAAGCAGTGGACAAAGATGCTCAGCTTTTGTGCACTCGGTCTCTTGATAACAGCACTTAGCTACGCATGCTCAGATTTCGACGCTACGCCCGCGCGCACAAAAAATGTCAAATGGAAATCGGCCTTTAAGCATGAAAGTCGTTAGCTAAACTATTCCTATGAAGAAAAATGCCAATTTGCAAAATCTTGACTCAAAGCAATTCGAAAAAACAGTTAGTTTTGAAAAGTTTTGACATTGTACATGCAAAAAGCATTAAGTGTTCAGAGATGTATGGAACTAGTCACATTGTAAACTGAGCCATGTATTAGAAACAGCAGAAATTACCAGATTTACTTACTGCCCGTATATTTCCAATGAAACGCAAGACTTTGATTCCTGTGCACCCTGCCGTCATTGTCTGCAATAAAGACAAGGGAGAACTGAATGATAATTGGGCAGCAATCATAGCCATATTCCATTTCAAAATTAGCCTCATTGGGACATAAGTATGATGAGCACCATTTCAGATTGGAGTACCAGATATTTTATGAGAGTTGTTATAAAACAGTTAGTAACAAAATAGGGAATGAAAACGAATTTTAATTTCAAGACTTTTTATCATTTATCACTTACTGCTTGCAAAGAATATTTTTTTCTGTAGATAATCTTATTGATGAATTTATATTTAGCTTTCTATTTTGCAATTTACTAACATGAGCAATCGCTTATACACACAAGCAGAAAAGAAGTTGATCATAAGATAAAACTGTAGGGTCTCAACTTTACACAAAAATTGTCAACGTGTGTAAAGGAGAAGGCATGAAAAATATGATCAAAGATTAAAAGAAAAGTGCCAAATAATCTATAAGCCTATCGTGTAATTTCATTATTTTCCTTCCTGTTTTTGTTTCAACAATAGCAAAAAAGTCTGCCAGGACATCTTCTGCTAAGACAATACAACTCCTTAATGGTCTTATCTTTGTTAAAGTTCACGTAAACAAAAAATTGATTGAAGACACGGCAAGCAAACTCGACACTAAGTCTAATTTGATTCATCTTCTGACTGATCTTCTGTACATAACACTTTGAACAAAAAACTGCTTTATTTTTGGCTGGATAATAATGCTCAATTTAAAAGTAAACACGGAAAATGTGACAATGAAGAGGCATTTTTGATATTCTAAATGTAGTAGAAACATAAGGTATAAACATAAGGTACAGACAAGAAACAAAATTGTTCCAAATCCTAAAAGTTTCTGGACGATGTGCAAACACAATGTGTAAGGAGTAGATTCTATTGTTTTTCTTACATTGACTTGTATAATTGTTTTCAGTTTTATGAGTTATGTTTAGAGAATTTCTATCATTAGCTTGGTGGTGAATAGAAGAGATTGATTAAATAATTTCTTTAAGTTTAATACCGAATAGGACGGAAATATTTACTACCTTGGCAAACGTTTTGTAAACATAACCAGTCAATATTTCTAAAAATTTTCTCATTTACCCTTTTGAGTTTCTTTTTGCAATTTTTTTAAATCTGCTTGATCAAAAGTTTGGATACCAATCATGAGCTAAAATACAAAAATCTATATTTCATGTATCTAATATAAAGAGGGATTTTTCTTCCCTGAAACAAAATTCATTCTCTTACCATAACTGCTGGTACAATTGACACAGGTCCTGAAGCGAATGAAGGACTGTTAAATGATTGATACATACTCGACCCACTTGCCACAAGAATGGCACTTCCAGCAAAATCTCTATAACAACTAGGATAATCATCTTTCTTCGTACGCAAGCCAAGGCTTGTGCTTGTGTCCATTATGAATTAATGTTGCTTTCTTCACTCTTATATCCTACAAATCAATTAAAACAATATCCTTGAAAAAATAGTAGTATTTTCACATAATGTTTCAATCAAATCTTGACAAATTTGTCCGTGTTCAGAAAAAAATCAGGAATAGAAATTGTTGATACCATTCTTATTCAAAAAAAACTCTTTTGGGTCTGAAACATAGAGTTATGTCACCAAAACGCAAATCCAGAAATTAAAAAGAATACAGAAAGCGGCGCTGGAAAGAACGTTATCAGTGCCTAGAAGGACACCTGGAATATGTGCCGAAAAGGGATGATGGAATTTTAAATTAGATTGATCTTTATTGGATTGCTATTATTTTGAAGTAAATAGTATCTAAATAAGCCCAGTAACTTGAAGAAATAATTTTATTTGGAGATATAAAAAATCTTGACAAAATGCCCTGAAAACTTTTATCACCCCATGACTTGAAAATTCTGAAAATTATTTTGAAGGATCTTTTTATAAGAAGAAAAACACTGGGAAAAACCGATGGTAATTTACTCGAGTGTTTATAACCCAAAAAAGATGAAGCTTTCAGGGTTTTCTCTAATTAACGCAATTGAAAAATATATATTTTAATATGTTAATGGTATCAAGTCAATATGGGTTTTTATGCAGTTAGGATGACTAGACAGAAAGCAGAAAGAGTTTTGATATACATAATAATAATAGCTTAAAAATTTGGATAACATCAATATAAATACAGTAAATAAAAACCCCGAATCATACGTCCATGAAACCGTAGATGAAAAAATTCCAGAAACTGATTCCTGTGAATCAAATACAGTTGACATTCTTAAGAATATCAGGATTAAAAATAAAAAGGGTCTCGTAATAGCATAACTAAACATTAACTCAATCAGGAATAAAATTGAACATTTAAAATTAATGGTTTCAAAATATGTCGACATTCTTACAATCGCCGAAACGAAAATAGATGAAACTTATACAACAAGTCAATTCATGATCGAAGGCTTTGGAGAACCTTTCAGAAAGGATAGAAACAAAAATGGTGGATGCCATCTTACCTTTGCAAGGGAAGGGATCCTTGTTAAAGAGCTAACAAATTACAAATTTCCTAATGACATTGAAATATGCACCACCGAAATTAAACTTAGAACAAGAAAATGGCTACTTCTTAGCATATATCGCCCACCCTCCCAATGCCCAAGCTATTTTTTTAAAGAGGTCGAAAAAGGAATCGATTTCTTTAGCAACAAATTTGAAGATCTTATCGTTATGGGCGATTTCAATTGCGAAATTGCGAAATGGGTGACAGCGCAATTAAGGCTTTCATGGACACTTATAAATTAGTTAACTTGATCAAGAATCCAACCTGTCACAAGTCAGACAACCCACGATGTATAGATTTGATACTGACAAACTGTAAAAGTCAATTTGAAAACACGACTAGTGTTGAAACAGGGTTGTCTGACTTCCACGTAATGATACTGAGCATACTCGAAGGTTATTTCACCAAGAGAGCTCCCAAAATACTTACATATAGAGACTACAAAAAATTCGATATTCCGAGCTTTAGATCTGAAATTTCGAATCATCGAATACTAAACTTTCCAAACTACAGAAGTGTTGATATCTCAGTCAAAAGTCTTCTTAATAAACATGCCCCCATTAAGAGAAAGTATGTTCATGCAAACGACGGGCCATTTATGACGAAAGAATTACGTAAGGCAATAGTGCATCGTAGCAAATTGAAAAATAGATATACTAATAACAAAAATGAGGAAAATCATAAAGCATATAAACGGCAAAGGAACAAATGTGTCAAGTTATTACGTAATTCTAAAAGCAGTTATTTTAGGAACCTAGACTTAAGTAATCTTACAGATAATCGCAAATTCTGGAGAGCGATCAAACCGGTCTTTGCAGAAAAGATAAAAACAACACCCTCCATTATATTGGAAGAAAATGGAGAACTAATTAGTGATGACCGCAAGATTTCAGAATTATATAACAACTACTTTATAAACATAACACAAGATCTAGGAATTCAACAATAAAAATAAGAGAAATGTACCCTGACCCACGGCCCTTTGAATTTAGGGAAGTTAACAGTAGGGAAATTTGGGATCAGATAAACAAACTTAATACCAGAAAGGCCACAACAATAGAGAGTATACCTGCTAGGCTATTTAAAGAATATTCAGACATTTTCCCTGAAATTTTACAAAGAACATTTAATGAGGATCCATCTAATATGACATTTCCAAAAGAACTCAAATTAGGAGACATATCATCGTTGCATAAAAAAGATGATAAATTCAGTAAGAAAAATTATAGACCAATTGCTACCCTACCGTCAGCATCAAAAATATATGAGAGAATCATGGAAACACAAATTACTCCCTTCGCTCATTGTTTTCTATCACCACTGCTATGGTGTTTCAGAAGGAATCATAGCACCCAACATACATTACTCAGACTCATAGAAAATTGCAAAAAAGCTCTAGATACTAAACAAACAGCCAGTGCACTATTGATAGATCTGTCAAAAGCATTTGACTGTCTGAATCATGACCTAATTATTGCTAAACTCGATGCTTATGGTTTTAGTAGAAGCGCCTTGAATTTCACATTATCGTACCTTAGCCAAAGGAAACAAAGAGTCAAAATAAACGGCTCTTTCAGTGAATGGAAATCCACGAGTGTAGGTGTGCCACAAGGATCAGTTTTGGGAACTCTCTTGTTCAATATATACATAAATGACATGTTTATGTTTATATCAAATAGCCAAATATGCAATTATGCTGATGACACAACGCTTTATGTCTTCCACCAAGACATTAAGCAGGCTATTAAAATACTAGAACAAGACGTAGTTATTTTGAGAGAATGGTTTCAAAATAATTATATGAAAATGAATGGCGACAAATGCCACCTTATAAAACCAAGTAAAGAACAAAAACTTCTTGGAATAAGTATTGATAATAATTTGTCGTTCAAAGGACACGTACAATCGATATGCAAAAAAGCCAGCCAAAAGCTACATGCTTTATCCCGAATCTCCAACTACATGGATGATAGAAAAGTAAAATAGACCATGCACGTCTTCATTTTATCACAATTTAGCTACTGCCCTTTAATTTGGATGTTTTCTGATCGACAGATGAACAACAGAATAAATAGAATTCATGAAAAGTCTTTGCGTCTTGCCTATGATTACTATGAATCAAGCTTTCAAACTCTTCTTGAAAAAGACAACTTGACGTCTATCCATGATAAAAATCTGCAATTGCTTCTTACAGAAATATATAAAACTTTACATAATCTCAACCCAAGTTTCATGAAAGAAATCTTTACTGAAAGAAATACATGCTATAATCTTAGAAACATATCCCGAATATCGCTATCAAAACCAAAATCAAATTGTTATGGTATAGAAAGTACAACCTTTATGGGATCCAAGCTCTGGCAAGAGCTTACAAATGACATTAAAACATCTTCTAGCCTCGCAATATTTAAGAAAAAGATTAAAACTTGGAAAGATACAAAATGCAACTGCAGACTATGCAAACTTTACGTCGCGCAGATTGGATTCTTGAAATAGTCATCGAATAATTGTATATTTTTATCTAATGAGTCATCCTTTTAATTTTGTACATTTCCTATATCATTTTATCGATTCATTGTAATTAATTTAAGATTTGTAAATGTAGTATAAATAGTAGGCTTTAATTAGCTGTTATATTAGCTAAAAAAAATTTGCTTCGCCTACTGTAAATAATTTTATAATAATAACAATAATAATAATAATAATAATAATAATAATAATAATAGTATTTTGTTCAAAATTGGATTGAATGGTGTTTGTTGTTTTTTTTGAAAAAGAAGAGAAAATGAAAAAAATTAAATATTAACAGAGTGAGGCCTGGTTCAAAAGTCGCAATTCTCATGTGCCGAACCTAATCCTGTTGCAAAAGGTTTACAGGGTGCCCCAGGGTGAGTATAGAAATTGCTTAATGTGCCGACAGACAAATTTTGAGGGAAGAGGGTTCAGCATCCCCCCTCCCAACCCCCTTTGGCGACGCCCCTGACGCCAAGCAACGCTAACAAGCATGTTCGAGATAGCAAAATACTTGGTTCTTTTACAGGACTTCCCATTAAGACAGGGGCTTGCTTATGTTACGTGCAGACTTTTGATATTGCTTTTAGCTTCGCAAGACATTATATGGCCCGCCTACATTTGAGTCCGATGTATAATTGTCACGAATAGTATATTTTATTTAGTTGATCGCTGAACTTGTCGATGGCAAGATTTCTTACAGCAGCAAGGTATTAACTTCTTATGAAAAGCTAAAAAAATTACCCTAAAAGTATGATTTCGCATAGGTAAGAGTTACAATGTTACGACACCCCAAAGAAGCCTCTAAAAACATATATATTAAAATCGATATTTGCTTCGACATTTCCAATATTGAGCCTGATCACGAATTGCTTATAATAATGCACGTTCTTGGTTAAAGTTTGTTAGCTCGATCTGTTCAATTGTGTGTACAAATCTGTGAATCATTAAAGCTTAGCAATAGTTAGAAACTTATGTCTGACAGTAAGGAGGTAAAGAGAATCATAAAGAAAATCACATAACAAGGTAAGGAATGCCCGGAGTAGTTAGTTTATGGTCATTCTGCTTCTTTAGCTACTTTAAAAAACAAATATGTCATCAAGATAGATTTTCTCAAATGTGAGCTGATGGTTAACTGACAGTTCTCTGAGGCTATTTGGGAGACAGCCCCTGTTGTCCTATTTTAACAGATCTCTCCCTGCTGAACCCAAACTTTTTGGTAGCCAGAAAGATATAGTTTCCGAATGGAAACATGAAGAGCAGCAGCCCCATCAGAATTCTAAACCAACCTGCTTTGAAAATTGGAGGAGAGAGAAAATGATTCCGATGTTTGCACTTAGCTGGGCGGAAACTTTGTAAATGTTATGAACAGCTTTTAAATGTCTCTTGGAAGCTCACAGATTACAGAAATGTATTTTTGAAAGCTAACATTTTAAGAAATTCATTCAGTAACTTCTTCTTCTTATTTATTTCCTTTGTTGTGCTGCAACAAATTGCAAAATTCTCTTCGGTCCAGAATCACCATTTTGTTCCGTTTAGCTCTGTGAAAGAACTAATGCATGAAAACGTTAAATCATTTACACATGTTGTCTTGCTCTAGTATATAGATATCCCTCAAGGATAAATACTAGCTCCTTTTGACTACTTGCAATTTATCTAGTTGAAATTCCACAAGGAGACAATGAAGAAAACGGCATGAAACAACTCTCCTGCCACCAAGAAAACCTTGAGTGCATTATTGACGTCGTCGTTGAGAATGATAATAGTTGCCAACGTGAATGTGATGCTTGTGGCCTGGAAACCAACATGTGAAAATACCTAAGGGAAAACGAAATAACGGTTTTATTTGAGTTACAGTGGCATAATTGTAGGCAAAGCTCAGAGGCAATGTCGGTTAAAATAGACAAAAAAGCTGAAAGTGAGAGTAGGGTTTTGTGCCAATCATTTGTTGGCTGTTGTTAGCTACCTAATAAGGCTGATATCGAACAGTTTAGGCAGCAACCATTGTTCAAGTGTGTCAAAGAAAGTAATGGATGAGTTACAAAACTGAGAAGTAGTTACGAAGGCTGTTCTGTGTAGACAAAACGAACCTTACTATTTGCCATGTAAATATTCGTTTGAAAGAATATGCGCCGTACATACCCGGGACTGCGAAAGCAGGGGACCTGAAGAAGCTTACTAAGATATCTTTTTAGAAATTGTACTAAAACTTTACAAAAATAAGCCTGCTATTTGACTTTGGCATGTTCAATGTTGATAAAAGCGATGCAAAGAGTACCATCTCTTGAGCACTTGTGCCACAAAAAGGGAAATTTAGGCTGAAATAATCCATGCCGTTATGTCTTTTATGTCAATCTTGCATAAATTAGCAATAATTTAATAATAATAATAACAATAACAATGCATATACAGGAAGCTCTCATCACCGAAGTGTTTTTCGGAGATGTCTCGTTAAATTTCTAAAATCTGCTTGATTATGTTTGATGAATTTTCAGTATTTATTTACCAATGGTCTCATTTCTTCACAGCACGACCTTGCAAAACCAGTGATGCCAACAGAAGCCATCTACAAACAACGAATAAATGTTATTCCAGGTTAGCTTCATTTCGAGAAGTCTCTAGACAAGATCACTTAGTAAATTATCCAGGCTTCAAGGTACCTCAGGTAGGAATATTTTGATTGTTCAGTCAAGAAAAATATGGCAGAAGAGTTAATGAATAAGGAGAATAAGATTAGCATTGTCCTGACCTGCATGCAGACTTTATAAATTACAGTTTCCTCTATTTGTAAAGTCTGCACGCAGGCTACGTTGTCCCGTACCTTTTGGCAACACAAACAATATAAAGGACCTTCTTTGCACAATTGTAGTGACCATTGTCTAAACGTAATCATGTCCTCCATTGTGTCTCTGTCACTAACACTTTCCATTGTCTTCGTATCCACGTAACGTAATAAACAACAGATTTCATCGTTCGCTTCAACCCGCTGTAGTGAACATTGTCTAAACGTAATCATGTCCTCCATTGTGTCTCTGTCATTAACACTTTCCATTGTCTTCGTATCCACGTAACGTAATAAACAACACATTTGTATCGTCTCTCGTTTTATTTGTATACGCCCTGTATTAAATTTAGTCAGTAAAATCATCAAGACGCAACGGTCACGCAATATCGTCTTTTACTGGCTCCGTGTTTTCTGCACGTTAAATCAGACATACAAAACGACAGCATTCGCAACAACAAAACCAAAATGAAATATAGGAACGTCGTCAAACAGCGTTCCCATAAATGGTGACCACGACGTGACTGTTGCGTCTTGATGAATTTACTGACTAAATTTAATACAGGGCGTATACAAATAAAACGAGAGACGATACAAATGTGTTGTTCATTACGTTACGTGGATACGAAGACAATGGAAAGTGTTAATGACAGAGACACAATGGAGGACATGATTACGTTTAGACAATGGTCACTACAAAGGGTCTTAAATGGTCCATCACCCCTCCCTAACTTTCCAGCTTTTGTCGGGGCCTATGTTCGTCTATCTTTTACTTTTTAATAATAGAAAAATACTGAACACAGTAGGATGTACCAGGATAAAGAAATGACACCAAAATAGATGCTAAGATCAACAGTGTTGCAGATGTCCATGCTTTCTCACCGTCTTTCTTATAAATGGTTTGGATAAGCAAAATGATAAATTTGCCATTGCAATTTTTAAAAAATTGAACGTTGGTTTAGAAAAATTCTGAAAAATCGGGAGGGACTTTTGGAGTAGACTTGAAGTTAAAGAAAATACTAAAATTTACGGCAGAACACGAGAAGAGATTGAAGATTCGAATGTCGCCTCGAGAGACAGAGACGCCGGAGAGGTCAGCGCACGGGGGTAACCTTCCCCTCTTGCTTTTTCATGGAAGGTGCAAGGGAGGGGAAAGTGCCCTCATCATAAAAGTGCTCTTGACATCGGCCTTTGTGGCTAAAAAAGATTCACTTTGAAATTATGTCTGTAATGCTTTATTCATGTTGAAATCACTCAAAACCTCTCTCAAAAAAATTTCCTCTGACAGCAGTAAGTCCAGTTTCAAGATGCCTACAGTAGATGGAAATTAAATGACAGTTACAAATAAAATAAGTAGAAGCTAGGAATTATTTTGCAAATGCCCTTTTACTGAAGCCTGCCTCCTTGCTCCTTGGTCGTTTCAGCGTCCCCGCCGAGACCAGGAGACTCGCCTGGGATACCACGACTGTTAGTGGCCTAAAGAGTAGGCGCAGGGCTGTAGGTATGGCCAATAAAACGACAGCAATAGCGAATGGTTCGAGCAGCTGCCGAATAAATGACTGAAACTAAAATATAGAAGAATTAAATTATTGCATTCATTAACTGTGTTTACGAATTCAGTCATGTTATCTGTGATCAAGGCAGCAAATCAAATGAAAAACCTACCAGTCCTGCACATATAAATGGGAAGTATTTGAGACGAAAGGCGATTAAATGTGCTCCAGTCCCTACGATTATTCCGTTACATAGTACGATAACTGCTGCAATGAATATCGAGATGAACGACAGAGCATCCATCACGAATCTCTTCGTGCTTGCCATCGACAGTGTGAGGATGCATAATCGCAAACTTTGCGTCAAATAGAACAAAGCAATATCTTCCAAGTCGTCATTACTTCTGCCAAGATTAACTTTTGACCCTTTTTCCCAGTAACTTCGTACTTGTGTTCGCAACTCAAGATACGAACTGGTAGAGAGATATTTTATCAACAACACTGTCTTTTCAATTCATTTATTTTGACTGCTTTCGAAACCTGGCTTGGGGGCCGTTTTATTTATTGTTTTATACAAGCCCTATTCAATATCTAATTGATTATAATCCTTGACCTCACCAGCAATGGTACAACACAATTCATTGAAATCGATTGGTTAGTCATTTGTGGTTGAATAAGATAATTCCTCGGTTGCAACCTTTATATCTTATTACGCATGCTTTGTCCATATGACCTGAGACAAGAGGGGCACAAGAGCTGCCAGATCAATTTTCGAGGAAGTATCATATCAATTTGCTCAATTTTCTGAGAGAGCGTACTGCTTCAGAGCGATCGGTTTCATTGTCGTGGTAAAAGTTTCGTTTCCAAATGATTGGTTGGTACGTTTTGTCATGCAAGCTACATACCCTAGGCTATATACCCTTAGGCTATAAACATCAACTTTACCCTGAACATTTTAGGCTGAACCCCAGGCTGAAGCTGGAGCCAAGTGTTCTTATAAAACAAACGTGTGGACTTTACTCGACTTGCCGCTTTGTAGAGCTCATTTCGCATGGGCGATATTTAGTTTATCGCTTTATCACAGAATTCTTCGAAAATTTGATAAAGACTGAGGTTTAATTTTTATTTTTTCATGTATCCGATAGAAACCAGGAATAGTTTTACTATTTCGTTGTTCACAAAGAGTTTTATGTTATGGATTTGCTATAAATCTTGCTCATATATTTTTTCCTTGGTCCTTTATTACAAAGACCAGTTGAATGAATAAAGATTGAAACGTTTCATTGCACTAAACTGTAAATGCAAAGGGTCCTAGAGAAATAAAGAAGAAAACCTTAAGACAAATTGAATTGCAGCGAAAATAGGTTTATAATATTGATAAGTATATAACAAAAAGATATACGACGGAAGGTTAATAGAAAAAAAATATTACAGATTCACTCAGGTAATTGCTTTACAGTTAAAGAATCACTCAATTCATCATAAGATGGCCCTCCATATTCACAGGAAAGGTCTAATCGTGGTATGGTACCTTTGCAAGTCTTGGGTCGTAAAGCTTCTGAGCACAGAGCACCCTAACCCTAACCTTAACATTAACACAACTAAACATGCTGGTATTCTTCTAAGGATATTCAAAATATTCAACACTATGGCTTTACTACATCTATGTACATCAGGCGCTGATCTAGCCAAAATTTTCACCGGTTTCGGGGTGCTTTACCCCATTACAGCATGGCCTTTGATCCTCTTCTTGCAACTTCGATTCTAATTTTCATGAATTTTTCCGAGAAAGGAAGTCTAGTCCCTCAATAAAAACCTCAGATTCTTTTTTGCACCCGCGTATTTCATTTTGTATCATTTTGATTTAAAGCGTCCATACTTTCGAGCTATGGATATCGATATCGAGCATACTTTTTCGTCACCGGTTTTTTTGCGTAAGGGAAATATATGGGCACCGGTTTTCACAGGTTTTCAGAAAACAATTTAGCCACCGGTTCCAATATTGGCGCATAGATAGCATACTCCAAGCTGTCACATCGAATGGCTGCTGATTTCCTGGATTTTGAATTCCTTGGATACTTTGAGATAAAAGATGAAGTAGGAAGCTGGGAACTCTGTCGAACTTTTGTGAGGGTTCAATCCAGTATATAAACAGAAGAACTGTAGTCAGTCAGGGAGAAATACAGCAATTGTTGCAATTGAAATTTAGATAAAAAATTCAAGATTTACAGAGAAACATAGCTCTTAGAATTTGACTGCTTTTTTGAAACCTGTGCAACCGGCCTGTATATTAAAAGTAACTTTTTGGCTATAAAAAAATTTATATTTTTATTTTATGAAAAGGTAAATGTTCTGGCAGATTTTCCTGAAACTAAAATAAGTCAAAATGGTCTTGCTATGAGCTACTTCCCTTGAGCTATCAATTTAAAGTCACAATGATTGTCTATGATTGGATTTTGGGTCAGGCTATGGGCAAAACAATCATTTTTCAATTGTTTGGGGAAAACCTAAAATAGAATAAGCCACTTGTTTTCTTCATCTTCTTCAAGATTCCATGATGTCAGACAGGATTCAAAGTAAAAACAAAATAACCATGGTAAAAAGTGACTTGACATTAAATACATTTCAGAAAACCTTTTAAATAATGCTTTGCTGCGTTTCAAATAAGCTAAGATAATCACATCTAAGGAGGCTTTGGCTAGTCATTGGTTTTTCACAAAAAGTTCTAAAAAGGCTTAGACATTTTTCAACCAAAAAATATGTCTAGTTTCTTGGACTATTTATATGAACAGAATCTTTGAGAAAATACAGACTTGTTTATCTATAAAGAATGTTCTAATGTTCCGGGCTACTATGTAGCTGCTCTTCTGTAATATTCTGGAGTAGCTGCTTCATATTCACAGCAGAATTTATCATCTGCCCCTTTGGTCATCCAATCTAAAAAGTCTTGAATTTGTGTTACAATGAAATGCATGCTTTTATCATCAAGGTTAGCATAGCTAAGCATTCCACCCATCTTTACAAAAAGACGTAACAAATGCTCTGCTCCATAAATTTCTGACATTGGCTTTTCAGGAAATTCTTTCATCAGGTCTGCATACTGGGGCCTTTCAAATTTATACAAAAGTTGAGTGCCAAGGACAACATCGAAATACTCTGCAATACCTTTTATAACCTCTTCAGGTTGGCTTAGTTTTGCATCAGCTGAAGTGCCTTTTTTCTTTGACAGAATATAATCACTAAGCAGTGCCTTGATACATTTTTCTCCAGGCTTTGGCAGTGGTACTAACTGTTTTTGTCTGGTAACAAAGTCTGCATCATCTAACAAAAACCTTCTCAGGTCTCTTGGAATGACAATTTTGACTTCAAGCCTTGTTATCTGTTGAGGCTCACGTTCCAGTATTTGACCCCCTCTGCCTCTCCTTCTTTTTGTCTGTGACTCTCCAGACTCCTTCTTATCCTCCTGGGATTTTGATGCTTGGCTTTCCAAGTCTTTCTTTTTTGCCCGTTTACTTGTCCTGGTTTAAAATAATTTTGCAATATTTATAAATGCAGAAATCTACCTTTTCATGGAAATAGAGCATTTAAGAATTTTGTTTAAATGGGGGTAACAGTTACATTTGCTAGTTTTGTTTTATATTGAGATATTTTAAGTAAGAAACAGTAATATTATCCCATCTATTGTAGAATGCTCTGAGCTATTTATACAGTGCTTGATATTTAGGCAGGGATGATGATTATCATGCTAAGAAGAGTGTCCTGATAAATAGAATCAATTACTAGCAATCATGTTCTATGCAAGAAAAAATGTAAATGAATCTATGTTTTGCCCAAGAATTGCCAATCATTAAACATGTGGTGAAATGGTAATTTACTCTCTAATACAAAACAGATTTAGCAATGTTTCAACTAGAAAAAGTGGCAGTTAAATTCAAAGACTGACATTACTTAAACTGCTGCCTTTTGAGCTACAGGGAACAATTAACATTTCATTTTTGGACCTGAATAAATTGCAGAAAAAGGCCAGTTTTGATTGCTGTTTTGAAATGAAAGTAAAAGAGCAGAATTGAATAAAATAGTGAAAAAAGGAAGGAAGGAGGTGTATAAAACAATGGTGGTAGACCATTTGAAAAGAGCAATGAAAGAAAGGCATAAATATAAGTATACCTAACAGAAACAAATTTTAACAATGAAAAGAAGACGTTATTAAGCTTATTAGGGATGAAAATTTTAAGCATTTACTATCTTTCAATAACCTTAGTACAATAGCAACTTCATGTTGATAAGTAACTAATTTGACTTACATTACACCATTATGCCCAAAATAATCATTAACATTTAGTCTGCAGCACTGTCAAGTCATTCAAAGATTTTACCTATGGTATATAGCTCTACATATGCTTGAGCATTTCTGTGTAACTTTGAAATTTTGATCATAAACTTGTTTCAGCTTTGAAATATTGCACATTTGTTTCAGATTTGCTTCTTCTGTAATTGATCAAATCATAAAAAAACTGAAGTGTATACAACATGCAATCCTTCGACTTCACCAATATCTTTACAATAATTTTAAAAACTTTCTGGATATATAGCAGCCATTGTCAATGAGGCCATCTTTATCAAATCAGGCTCGAATGTTTTGTGATTTTGCTGTGACCTAATAATAGTGGTTCTTGATTAAATTACATGCAGGTTCAATCCAAACCATACCTGTACGACTCAAATATTGAATATTAAAACAATCCAAAAGCAACTTACGCGTATTGCTGCTTTAATTCTTTTTGCTTCTTTAAATTTTCCTCGCAGTATTTCATAACTCTGCTTTCTGTAACCCATTCATCCCAGTTCTTATTCCATCCATTGTAGTGAATCAAATATTTTGTTACCTTATCTTTGTGTTGCCCTTTTATAACTGCCTCATAAAGAAGTGGTCCGTGAAAACAAAGAACGCGTTCACCTTCTACGAATTTTACCCTTTTTTCTTGAGGAGGCATCTTTACTTTAAGAAATTCCCTTCTAGGCGGTTGCCTTCTAAACAGAGCAGTGTTCACATTGATTTAGGCCATAAATAATCTCAGTGCTCCTCCGCCACAACGGGCACAGGGATAACAAGGATAAATGTTGTATTGATAGTATCATTGAAACACTAGAGAGTGATGCTCTCAAAATTGCAGAATGGTTTCCGAACAACTGTATGAAGTTGAATGAGGACAAATGCCATCTAATGGTCTTTGGGAATAAAAGTAATGATATTTCTTCAAATATTGGAAATGTCAGGATAAAAGAGAGCACGGAAGAAAAGCTGCTTGGAGTGATTCTGGACAAAACATTAGGCTTTAAAAAGCAATTTAAGTCCATTTGCAAAAAGGCTGGGCAAAAGCTACATGTTCTCTCGAGAATCTCTCACTTTCTTGATACTGAACAACTAAACGGAATAATGAAAGCATTTATCTTGTCTGCGATAGAACACTTAATAGTAAAGTTAATCGTATTCACGAACGGGCATTGCGGATAACTTACAAAGATATGAAATCAGATTTTGACACAATGTTACTCACAGACAATGCGGTCTCCACATCAGGAATTTACAACTGTTGATGACTGAAATTTATAAAACAAAATTGGGAGCTCAATCCTACTTTCATAAAGGATTATTCCCGTATTCTTTTTCCAGGGTTATTCTTTTTATCTCTTTTCAAGGCAGAGGCATGTCCATCAAAGATACTTTTTCCAGAGCAGGTCAGATTAAAATTTAAAGCGTTGTCCACTCTATAGCTTCCTTCGCTTAAAGCTCAAATTTGGGATTAAAGCTCTTGTTCCTGGAACGGTTTCATGTCTACAGAATACTTTTCAGGACAGGGTCTAAACAATTTTTGCGGAAGGCACATCCCCTTACTTTTTCTCCAAGGTAAACCCCACCAGGTACAAATTTTGTGTGGTAGGAATAATGATAAAGCGTGAGTGGCGTAGCGTGAGCGCAGAACTTAGGCATGCGGTAGCATATTATATAGGTTTATGTTAAACAAATAAAATTTTAATTTCAGCTTTTTGTAAATACAAGCGGTAATTCAAGGCAATCGTGATTATAAATTTTGATTTCGAAAATAGGCTTAGGCTTTCATAAGATAGGATTATATATATTTATTGATGTTGAGAGGCATAACCAAATACACTCATTTTCTATAAGAACCAGTGAATTTAAGTACAGGCTGACTGTTCTTAATTTTTTCGAAAATCTCAGGTTGGATTGTTCCTAATTTGTTCTTAGATCAATAGGGTGTAAATCGTAAGATTGCTAGCTTTTCCACTCTAGGGAGCTGTTCAGGCCTCATTTGCCAACAACGCGAGTAAGACAATCTTTATTTGCCGTCAAGTTTGAATATTCACCGAAAAAACACCCACACATGGCTAAGAATCCTTGTTTTTGAGAAAGCACGTTGTTCAAATTGCATTTGACAGTAGCTTAGCCTCAGCTTGTTGGTAATTTTTTTTAACTTTTGACCAATTTTGAGGCTCGTGTTCTTTTATTATTGTTCTTACAAAATTAGGGGGTATGCCAGTTTCATATTTTACATTGCAGCTTTCGTAGAATTGACCACATCTTGATGCTGTAATGCCAGTTCGGTATCTTCTAGATCCAAGCATTTTCCATCGTGCACTTTGCAATGGGTGGCCTGCCTCTATGTTTATTTGTTTAACAGGGTTTTTAAGTTTTCTAATTTGCTATCACTCACGTGCATAGATTCTAGGGGGTTGTGTACTGTTATTCAGACCAAGTTTTACCGCTTTTTGAGTATTTGCTTTCTTATTAGGTAAAAATATACCATCCTCCATATCCCCAAACATTTACCGTCTACCTCGCCAATGCCAACACTGAAACTTATTTTTGAGGTCAGTGGCTTTAATGCTACCGTTGCTTTGGTTTTGCTCAAAAGTAGAGTTAAAACGTTTAACAAAAAAATTACAAGTGATTGAATTTGTGGTGTTGTAAACTTTTCTTAGAATAACCCCTGTTCTCTGGCATCATGAAGTCTTACGCGAGGGCAAAAATTCTGGTCATAAATTCGAACCTAGAGCTAAAACTTTATATAATGTTTGAAGCACTTGTCTTTAAAAGAACACAAATTGAATTGGTGTATCGCAGTTGCATTTTTATATAGATTACATTTTTCTACTTTTGCATTTTGTTATTCAGTTTATGATACTGCAGCTATACCACTTGCAACTAGAATCTTGCAAATCGCCGACGTTTATGAAATGCACTTTTTTATGTTTCTCTGATTAATTTTCCGATACACCCCCTTTTTAAAGAATATATGTCCTATAGGTTGCAAAATATCGACCCCTTTGTCAGCGGAATTAGGGATGCGCGTTCTTTATTTGCATTCACTAGGCGTACAAGTTGCAGCTTCATATACGAGGTCATCCAAAATGCGTCTTGTATGTAACTCAAAAACTATACAAAATATTTGAAAAAAGGAATAAATGCATAATTACCCGGCTGAATAACATTTCATAAGATAATGCACTATTATTTTGATAAGAAACAAAGGTTGACATAAAGTACTCCGTCTGAACGCTTTGGCAAATTTTAATAATCGTGGTTTCTTTAGAGTTACTTAATTATGTTTTCTTTTATTCAAACATTCGAAATCTTATATTTAATTATTAATCCTAGGAAAATATTTTCTTTCATGATAAAAACTACGACCATATTATAACTCAAAAGAAAGCTAGTTCAGAAACTTAGACGAGTAATTATTTCCAAACGAAACTTGTTTAGGAGGGTTTTTCGAAGCTGTTTTGATTTCAAACACTTGTGATGTTTCTGTCAAGAAAATTGCTTCAATTTTAATGCTAAGAAATATGTTTTTATTCCCTGTTTCTTATGTTTAAGAAATATGTTTTATGCCAACCAGCCATTATGATGGATTTTCAGGAAGTTTCGGAGTTCTTGCTTTTGTCAAAATTCAACTGTTTCTTAATTTCTTTGTTTCGAATGATGATGTCTCTCAAGACTCCTGATTATCCAGTACACGTTACTGATAGCGAGTTTCTTATAAAAATTGTGTGTACAAATGGATTGAAAGTTCAAATTTGCAACACCCATGCAGTATGTGGGAATTTTGTATAAATTCAAAATTTATTTCACATTCCAACCAAATCGACCTTGAAAATCCAAATCCATGATTACCAAAAAATGAACATCGGGAATTTCTTGCATGTTTACACTAAATTAACTATCCAGATTTCAAATACGAGATGGAATGAAAAATATTTCGAGAAGAAGTAACATTTTTTGGTGATGTCATCAACTTGGAGAAAATTCACTTTGAATCTTTTTAATTGTTTTCTCGCAACTATAGTTGTCAAATTAGGTCCATATTCGAATAGCACACATTAAGTGCTTTTGAAAGAAGTATAGAATTACTTTTTTACATACTTCTAAACGTTATTGCATGACGCCATCGTCATTCTATGAATTCGTCATCCTTTAAAGACAACTGAATATCACGGGAAATTAAGCCTAAAAACTTTTTAGCCAGTGAAAAAAATCATTCAAGTTAAAATTTTGTTGGAAAGAAAATGATATGGAATCCATTCATCGTCATCATCGTCCGCCTCAAGCTGATCACGTCAGATGCAAATATCTTTTTTGATGTTTACACATGATAAAAAGTTTCTTGTTATTTCTAGTGAGTCATTTGTAAAACTATCTACAGATCTACCTTCTTCTATCGGCTTTCATCTTCTATCTTTTATTTACTTATATCTACTTATATCTACTTTCATCAGACATAAAATAGTGTATATAGAATATTGGTATTGTACTATAAATGTATTCGAATGCCGAACTAGCAACATCTGCATCCATCAGTTAACCAAACATTTCTCAACAAAGAATATAAATATATACTTTGACATAAGATTTGCATTGTGGGTAATCCTCAAATGACTATAAAAATACAACCCCTTTAATAAAGAATCTGAACGAAATAAGAGAGCAGCAAACAGAGATCTGAGGACAGAAAAGGCTGTCAACAACCATGACTGGCTGGATTTAGTAATGAAGGGGAAACTAAAAGAATGGACTGTTGAAGAATTGAATAAAAACCTCAATGAACACAGTCTCAGCAAGGAAAGAAAGAAAGCAGGCAAAGATGGCTGCAATAACTGCAGATGTACCCAGGAAGACTCAAGAGGATGCAGTATTAAGGAAAATTATGCTAGAAAGTGAACCAGATAGCAGTGTTATCGACAGTGATAATGAAAGCAATAGTGACAGTGAGGAAGATCTTGGTGTTGAAGAATTTGGAGCCAGTTAAACTTCAGATGAGGAGGATCCTGGAGGTCAAGATGGCAATGACAGTCTACCTCTTATTGTGATAACCCGTCTTGGACGTGTGGCAGGCAACTGGAATATATTCCAATTGCATTAAAACTGTAATCTATTAGTATGCATGGTATAGGTGTACACATGAAGATGCTGACAAGGCTACATTGAAATGCCCTTTATATTGCATTGGTACTTAATTCTTGAGTAAGTGTAAATTAATTTAGTAAATTAACTATGATATTCCCAATTTTTAGCTGTAGGTTGGGTAGGAGGAAAATATGATTAGGATATCGTTGGGTAGAAAAAATTAACAATGGGTTTCATGTAGGGTAAACTAAATATCTGTAGGAAAAATCATTTCTCTTCGGTCCCAACCCCGGCCATAAAAAATGACACTGCCAGTAGGCCAGTTTAATTTTTCCATAGTAGATTCAACCAAAACTTGCAAAGGCAATTTCTCTTTCAATCTTCTTTTTGTGATGCAACCAGTAGTTTACTTGTTTTGATATGTCTGGATCTGGTTGTAAAGATTTTGATTACTCGGTCTTCACTGCCTTTCATGCAGATTCATGAAAGAGCAATGAGAATAGCTCATGATGATTATGAATCAATTTTTGAACAACTTTTAATAAAGAATAAAACAATAACTTCTCATAAGAAAAATTTACAATATCTTGCGATAGAAATTTACAAAAAATTTAACGGATTGAATCCACATTTTATGGATGAAATATTTTCTATAAATGAATGCCCATATTACTTAAGAAACTCCCAATTCAAAACAGCGGAGCCACATTACAAAATTTATGGATTTAATACCGTATCATATAGATGTAGCCAAATATGGAACCCAGTTCCAAATGAAATAAAGTACTCCCCTGCTTTACAAATATTCAAGAAAAAAATCTCAGAATTTTAAATCGTTTAATTGTACTTGTAATCTTTGCAAGGAATGAGTTAGCAACATCGGTTATATTTGCTTTATATTATATTATATTTAGCATTGATAATTTAAATTAGTTGGTTTTAATTAGCTTGAGTATGCATAGCTAGAAATTGTACCAACTTTAAATAAAGAAAGGAAAAAAAGTGTTTCGTCACATTTGCCGATGTTGTTTTGTAACCAGTAACCAGGGCATGCGCCACCGATTCTAAAGTGGGAGGCCAAAAAGGGGGGCTACCTATTTAAAACGTTTCTATCGGTGAAGTCGAAGGGTCAATTCACTCTTGCAAATAGCGTACGAGATTTTACCCTAACAAAAGGATTTCTAGGGATTTTCAGATAAAACAACAGGATTTTCATAAAAGGTGTATCAGATTTTCTTGAGAGTGGAATATCAGATGGGTTTCAGCCTCTACATGGCTGCAATTGAGTTTGTCTTGGAATCTTTGGTTATCTCAAAGGTTTGTTCTTTGTTGGTAAACACAATTGCTTTCGAAATAAACTGCTTTCCTTTACAAAATTCCCCATCTAGTTTGCATTTATTTTCAAATTTACACTAGCGTTCCCTGCCTACCACCTATCAATGCGAGAGCCCCGAATATGACACTGGTAACAAATGAAAGCTATTGTACAAAGAGAAAAAATATTTTGTGACAGTAATGACATGGTGAAGTGGGTTTTGCGATATTGATTGATAAATACACTGTAGCCCTGTTTACTCGCTGCAGTTCGTTGTTGAAATGTGGCACGCGTCAGCGGTACTTTCCGGCTTGGGTATTATTTTTAGACATAGCTAAAGAACATCGATGTCATCGATCCTTACATATATCCGTTTTTCGAAGTGAAAGAACTGCATAGATACTGCAACAAGCAGACCTTTTCAAAGTTATGTATCAAAGAATAAGAAACTGTGCTGCCTGGATTTTATTCCACTATCTTACATTTGTTTCTTTAAAGCTAAAACATGAGAACCACAGTTTTCCAGAAACAGGCTAAGTTTCAACTTATTGAACTAAGACGCTGTTCTGTAAAAACTCATAGCTACCTATTAATACATTTTATTGTCATACCCTATCTAGCTTTATGAAACTATCATTATTTGAATAGCATGTCATTATGAGTGTTAGAGTTCTGCTACTTGAATATTTTAGAATTCATAGTACACTCTTTTTTTATAAGAAGTTTTATAAGAACACGAGTCTCAAAATTGGTCAAAAGTTAAGAACAAATTAAGAACAAGCTGAGGCTGAGCTTCTGCAAAATGCAATTTTGAAGAACGTTTTTTCTCAAAATTGGGAATTTTTTACGATGTGTGGGGGCTTTTTCGGTGAATATTCAAATTTGTCAGCAAATTAAGGCTGTCTCACTCACTTTGTTGGCAAATGAGGCCTGAACACCACCCTAGAGCGAAAATGCTAGCACTCGCACTGCTTGTACCCTATTTGATTAAGAACAAATTAAAACAATCCAGGCTGCAGATTTTTGAAAAATCGAGAACAGTCAGCCTGAATTTAAATTTACTGGCTCTTATAGAAAAAGAGTGTATCAGTACACTCTTTCTTTATAAGGATATTTTTTATAAGAATTTGTTCGACTGAACTTAAATCTGTTTAAGCAGGACAGTAAATGTTATTTAAAGCTTGATGAAAAAAACTAGAATATGTACGGTTGCACATTGCTGTATGGATATTTCGGGCAAAGGGACTACCAGAAGTACGAAAAAACGTGACAAAATGCACTATACACCTATTCTCATGTATTAAAAAATCGTCGTGGTTGCTCCAGTTTTTGAATGCTTTTGGAAATTTCAATGCTTCCTGTTTCTTAAGATTCTGTTACGTATGATATGATAAATTATAGCTTTGGGTTTATACTTTAATTTTTTTGCTTTTCCATTGCTCGCTTCATATAAAAGATGAATGGGGGGGGGGGGGGCACCAGGGGCATTGCCCTCCCAACTAGAATTTTTTCCCCTCAGTGCCAGTTTAAACATTTTTAATTTCTTTGTCTAAAACCTTAGAAGAAGACGTGAATATGCCTATCGACTATCATGACTATCGAAATACATTCGGTCTCAAGCCAGTCTGTGCAATCATGGCGATAACCAATATCGAATGCGCACCAGTCCTAAAACGCTCACACGAGAAAGGTATGAAAGGATGCTCCCAACGAAGACGCCAAGCTACGAGACTCGAGATATCTTCATTTCATACGACAAACTTTGATGTAACTGCACTTTGGTGACTTTTTAATTTTTTGGAATCCGCACTTTGAGAACTCTCTTTCAAGTAGACAAAGTATTGCTTGGCATTATCATGGCTTAGCTCCCTTTTACAGTTAGCTTTTGGATAAATTCTTTGAAATACGTTATAGAAAGCAAAACTTCTCTTCAGATGCCTTCGTTTCTAATTGCCAGTGAAGGAAGATTACAAAATTCTACAAAAAATCAATTATATTGCAAGAATTCTTCATCCGCTGCAAAATAGTGAATGTTTTAAGGTTCTTAATACCGTTACTTGATTTCTTGTCTCCAAAAAAGCTTAAGGGGGCGCTTCCCCTATAATTTGTCCATCAGCATAAGAAGGGTGCGCTTCTACATGTAGTAAGATTTTAACTTTTTTAAACAATTGTAACATATTAACATTTCTGTAGCAGCTAAGCTTTAAAATTATGGCATTAAAAATTCTTGAATATTGACATAGGAACGCAAAAAAACAGCATATAAAATTATCTACTTTATTAAGACATCACGAGAGAGTGAGACAAGCCCTTTTTTGTCGGCAAAAATCATTTCTGGACCCCTCCAAAAAGGATTGTTGACTTGGCCCTTGTTGCCCGCCCACCTTTTCAGTGTTGGCCTGGCTTGCCTGGTCATTAGAAGATTTGCAGCTTCCCATTTTGAACTCCATTATTCATTTTCTTAGTCATTTCAGGTTTCCTTGAAAGTTGATTGTAATGAAAAAAGATTTTGTGGTTTTGTGGCAGGTCATGTAAATCTTTTTCTATCCCGAGAAGTTAGAAAATTAAAATCGAAAATATCGAGCCTCAGTAAAATTTTACATAGACATGTGGTTTTTACCTTTAGATATTGAAAATATTACCCAGAAGCAAAAAGACTCTCGGTGGAGGTTTCATTTTTAAAGGAAACTGGCATGTTTGAGATGAGATTTTGGTTGCATCTATGGACTATAATAAATTTTAAATTGGATTATAACTGTTCATAATGAATCCCAGCCGCAATGTTCTCAACAAAGATGCAAGACAAAGCAATAGAGCATGTTTAAAGTTTGCATCATCCCGGCGATTTATTCTTCTTCTCAAACTTCAATATTTCGAAAGGTTTGTTTTGTTATTTTCACAGTATGTACCAGCTTCCAGCTCCTAAACTTCTGCGAGGTTTTCTGCGAGGTAGCATTATTTTGCAAGGTGGTCGATGCGATGGATGTTTTGTGTGCTAGTATCACATTGCCGAAGCGAAAACGTTTGTTTCTGATTTGGCTTTGTGGAGTGCCAGAGTAAATTATGGCAAACAGACCAGAGCCTCCGAGACTTAATATTGAGATATCTGATAATGAAGAAATAAGTGATCCTGTGTTGAAAAATTACTCTAAATTTAGTCTCACATATCTTGGCAATACATTCGTAGACCGACGTTACACACCGGCCATAATACAGTGGGTCGTTCGCGAAGTGCTACAGTCTCAGGCCAATCAACCAAGAGAAGTTGACTTTATCATCAAGGCTACGAGGATAGACATTGCTACTAAAGAAGAAGAAGGCACAATAGCTAATCATGATTTCAGTTCAATTGTGAAGCTACCAAGGCTGAAGAACCAGGCAAAAATTTTGGCGTTTGTCGTGTCAGGCCGCATTGAAAGCGACAAGTGTTGCTGTCATGTGTTTTGCTGTGCAACTCAAGAGACGGTATGAAATAATGATCTTTTTCCAAAAAATTCTGATTACCACTTTATGGGGATAAACTTTCCTATTATTTATCGAAAATCTATTCCAATTACGCACAACATTGCGCTGTAAAAAATTCCGGTTAGGAAATTTTTTGTATTTAGGCTACCGTGCTTGCCATGTGTTGCTGTTCCCCTTGATGTTAGGCTAGGTTTCGCTCTTGGCAGGACCTGGCAGCAAGCCAAATGTTTTTATACCGGATAGTAATCTTGAAATTTGTTACTTGTGCACTTTATATTAACATTTTGCAGACCATCATATTTTGCAGAAAAACTAATTTTAGTCGCGTTGTTCTTTTGTCTTTTTGAACAAGTAGAATTTCCATGGTGTTGTATTTTCCAACACAATGCATGTGCTAAAAAATCTATAGTTTGTATTTACACTCTGTTCCAAAGATATTTATTGAGGTTTATCTTTGTTTTTATGATTCTCATTAGCAATTTAAAGGGAATATTGGCCCGTGCAGACTTAAGTCTATTCACATTTTCGGACAAGATGGCCGATATTCATTTCTTGTTGGGTTTTCCCCTACTCGTTTTCACCTGTTTGCGCATCCCGTTATGTCTTGTTTACCTCAACGCTTCACTGCCCGTTTCTGTCACTCATTTTCTTTCAAAATATAAGATAAGCGAACAATTGCTCTTGTTGAAGGTATTATGAACGTGGTTTGAAAACATTAGTTTGTCAAAAAGGCCTCTAATCCACATGTAATCGGAAAGTTTGGTTGCACAATAATTGCCTATTCGAAGCTAAGCGTGCAAGATGGTCACGCTAACTCTAGTGCGTTTAGAAAAATTATTTCAAGATCGTTTTTCCAGAGTATTTCCTTGCACGCTGCAAAGAAGGTGAGCACTTTTATCCCTGTTTACGTCTCATCGACTTTGGACAAAAGTTTTCACCTTTGATCTTCAAAAAAGCATTTGACATTCTCCCCTCGTTTTAAAACTGGAGAGATTATTACTAAATAAAGAAACTAGACTAAAGGTTTTTTGAGGAGCTGCTTAACATACTAAGTTATTTGCATGAGAAACCCTTCTTTTAGCATTATAATTCCTTAGTTTTTCATCAGAACTCAAGCACTTTGTGGCTTCAAACAAAAGTAATTTTTGTGTCAGCACAATGTTTTTGTGATAAAACGTAACTGAAATAAACAGCCAAACAAGAGATAACAAAACAAGGAAGTATTGTTTGTTCATAACAGTCTTAAAATGGAGTCCGCATGCCTTTTTTGGCAGCTGATATTGTCTTGGGAAAGATTGCCATTGGCTCTTGATATGTTCAGTTATTTAGAACTCAATGTTTTCAAAAATGTTGATAAAATGAAAATGGGTCTTATGCAAATGTTTATTTTCCTCCATGTTGATCAGCTTATCAGATGTCTTAGATGTAAGCAGTTACTCTGTTTCATTCCTGATTTGTTGCTATGCCAGGCAGTAATGCCACTCAAATTTACAAAGCCTGTGAAAAATTTATCCTATTTCAACAAACAGACAGCAATGAAGCTAAAAGCTTTCCTACACCTGCCTGCTGTATTGATCTATTTTATGGAAAATTTATCTTTTCTGATAAATAAGCAAATGTTTGTGGAAAGGATATTTCCAGGAGTATTTGCCTTTGTAAAAGACAGCTTTGCAATTTGTATGATAATACATATAGTCCAATAATTGGCAGTTTTGGTGGGTTAGACAGTGCATATTAATGTTTCTGATTTAACCTTGTGGAGAAAGAAACATGTTTTACTTCTCAATAGAGAATCAAAATAAAAAAGTAAAAATCTTGAAACTCTGCAGAACAGGGGGCTATCTGTTATGGGTAGGCAATTTGATAGACACTATGTTCAAGAAATCAAACTAAAATGAAATGAAGTTTCTTAACTATATTGAGCTTGACATATGAAACAGTAACAGATATTTGGTTGATAAACTGAGACACAAATTATACTTTATTTTGTTTTAGAAACTGACCATTCTCCAGGAATTAAAAGCAAAGATTCTAGAAGCCCAGTCTGAAAGCAATCAGGAAAGTTCACCACCAAGGAAGTCATTGCATACTGCTCAAGCCCCCAAAATGACTCATAGACGAAACCTTTCGTACTGTGGTGCTATTTCCCAAGCTGAAGATGACTTTGTTCAAAGATTCTCAGTTTTTTATGTTGGAAAGGTGACAATTTCACAAGCTCAAGCCCCACCAAAGTTTGTTGATGAAATGTTGAGGCAGATCAAGTTGTTAGAGGTTGAGAGTAAAAAACACAAGAAAAATGGCCACCATGAAAGAAGTCCAGAGAAAATAACTGGAAACACAAAACATTCATCTAGTGGAAAGATCATTGATATTCATAGTAATGGTGAGTTGATTTGATAGTGAGTCAAGCATAAAAGGTAGAATTTTACTGCTAAAAACTAAGCCATAATAATATCTTTAGGTCATATGTATGTATGCACATAGCCCAAAAGAATTGATCAAATACATCTAAACATGCAAGAGCCAATTAAATGTTGCAAATTGGCTGCGATATTGCAAGTAAATGAACTGATGAAATATTTGCCAATGAACCATCCTACTATATTGATTGGTTCATAGATTTATGAGTTGAAACCAAACCATAGTGTGATCTTGATGAAATTTTCTATCTTACAGTCAACCTTTCAATGTGCTGTCCAATCTATATGTATTCAGACTAACAAAACCAATTTCAATATTTTTCATTGGTGACTTGCCCACACTTATCTAGGAGATTTTTGTGGTTTTGTGCTATTGAGAAATGTTTAGTTTGGGCCCTTACTCCCTTGATAAAATTAATACAGTCAGTAATTGTATTTGATGATTTTTAAGCCCCATAGTGTTTTGAGAAAAATTAATGAATAGTGTAATGTGTGGATAATAGGGGTTTTGTTAATCTTTCTAGACCATCCATCCACCAATCCAAGTGAACATACATCAAGACTTAGGTCAGCAAGTGATGGTGACAAAAGGTTGCCAACAAGCTTGCAACAGGAGAAGAAAGACTGTCAGCTACCAGGAGAAGAGAACAATATGAAGAACAAAGGATGTGACTTGAATGACGATGTTTCACTGAGAGTTGTCAAATTCCAAGTTTCAATGTCATCATTAATGCTTTTCAGTGCTGGAAACAAACAGCTGTTATTAGAGAAGAAAATACGTGAAATATCGTACTGCACCAAGGTAATTTTTTGCTTAGAGTTTTGTTTCTTATCAACATCCTCCATTGCTTGTGACGCAGGTTTTCTTTATTCTTTTTTGGTTTTTATGACTATGTGTACCTTTCATGCCATTGAAACACTATTAAAGCTAATGTTTTGTTAAAAATACTTACATAAGCTTTATTCTTTTTACAGGGTCAACAAAGGACTGATCACTTTGGCTTTATTTGTCGTGAGAAAAAGAATCATCTTTTGTATCTTTTTCAGGGTGAATCAGAACATATGGTGATTATTGTTACTTTATTTCCCCATAAGATCAGTAAAATCAAATTTCAAGACAGTCTGCTAAAAATGTCAACACTTAATCTCTTACAAGGGGCAAGTTTGACCCCTGGAGATAATTCATCTAAACAGTACATAAACCAGTAATGCTTGTTTGTAAGAGCAGCAAATGTCATGCTGTTACCATATGGTTTCAAAATCACTGATCAGCCTTTCATGCCAGCTTTGAAATTTCCTCATCGCTCTTTGCTCATTAAGTCATGTTAAATCTTGTTAACTGCAAAATAAAAAGCAAGAAGAAATTCTTCTTTTCAGTGCTAGATATCTTTGTTTTTTTATGAATTTGATATTTTTTAGACCTTTTAGCTTGTTAGATTTTTCACATTTGTATTAACAAAAGGTCTTATAATGTTGGTAAGATAGAATCTAATTGTTTGTTTCAGGTTGACATGATAATGAAGGCCATGAAACAGGCATTTAGTGATGCACTGCAAGCGTCAGCCCATTTAAGTTTGTGCGAGGCATGTCCTATACAGAACCTCATCAGGCTCTGTGCAAAAGTAGAAGGTATGATATTTTTGTGCCAGAAACCAGTGCCTAGTATTTGCTGTGCTGGTTACAGATCGAAGTTCTCAAGCAATTTAGTAAGTTCTTGGCTCACTTGGCCCTAGTAAAGTTGAAATTAATTTTTCATACTTAGAACAATATATCCACTAAAGGATTTACAGTTCTTACAAGCCTAGCATTACACCTTGTGCTTGATGCCAAATAGGTGTATATTACATAATGAAATACAATTAATGTAGAGAACGGTTTTGTTTATTTTACAGCTTCATCTTTGTCAGAGCAGCAAGCAGCTGTGCAGGAGCATATACAATCTCTCAATGAAGCAGAGTATCACTACGTCATGAACAAGTTCAATGTTAGTAGCTTCCTTTATTTTTGATCAGATGAATGCACTTGATTCTTGATATCTCTTACCATTATATTTCCTGAGTTCTCAGGTGTAGAACTTCCTAGGGGTTACACGGTACCTTTCCAACAAGACGCTTCTTGTTGATCTCATTGGATCAAGTTGGCAAACAGTAACCATGGAAAGTCCAGCAGGTTAAATTAGCTCTCAACAGCTCATCCAGTGGATAGAAAAGTAAAAAAAACTTTCATCTGTGATGTTTTTAAGCCTTCGGAATACGGAAAATCTTTGAAAGTGAAAATGCGTTAAATATCGAGTAAACAGTTGTTTGCATAAATGCCATCTTATAAGTAGCTGTAGTAGCTTTGAATTGTTTACTGGCGTTTTCTATCAAAGAAACCGGAAAAGCATTTTACTGACCATGCTACTGGTTTGGAAACCTTTAAGGTACCTGAATTGAGCTCATGATAATCTTAGCATGACATGGCTCTTTGGCAGTGGTTTTCGTGGAATGGAACCTAACTAAGTCCATGAGTTGTTAGAAGTTTGTCACGTTTCGTAGAAACAGAAAAGACCAGAGGAAGTAATTTTAATAATGTTCGGCATTTCAAGCAAGTGATAAAGCTTTCATAGAAAAACGCTGACTGTTTTCTAACAATAAAAGAACGAAAGAGCAAATAAGACAAGGCAAGGATGATGCCTGTCAACCGTAGATATTTTGAATAGACAAGTTGTATTACTATGGAAGCCTTTTTAGTCCAATGTTTAAATGCTTACCAGTACGTTGTATACTTTTTGGACCAGTACGTTGGGAAACTATGCTTCTCTGTCAAGGCCAAAGAAGCTGTGAAATGCTGTAAGCTTTTCATGCTGGTTTTTTATTTCCTTAAAGTAATAGGAATCGCAAATGCCTTGATGCGCTCTTCATGTGATGACCCCGAAGATCGTCATCATAGTTGCTGTAATTATTTGTCGGCTAACGTCATAAGGTATCGCCTATAAATGTGCATTTAATCTGAAACAAGGTTATTTTGACCCGCGGTAGCTTAAGTGATGTTTCTTCAATGTTTGCATTCACTGTTTGATCGCTGGAAAAATTCTAGTAACACACTCCGCTATTGACAATGTATGTTACTGGTACCAGCTCTATGTTTTTGTGAACAGAAAGAGCGGCTTGGAAATTACGTATTTGGCATGCTAATTTGCAGAAGGAATCACAAAGCATGCTTCACGTTACCAGTTCCACGTACATATCACGTAATTTTAAAAAAATTGACGTCATAATAAGGTTACACATGGTCATGAAAAAATATATGCATGGCTGTCGAAAACAGTCTGACGTATTGCGGGTGGCCTTTTAAACCTTAAGATCTCCTTTAATTTTCTCAAGTTTGTTTTTGTCTTGGTTTGACCGCTAGTGACGTGTCTTCGAAAATAGTATAGATCAAGAATGCTTCCTTGAATTTGCTGCCAAGAGTATATCAACAATAGTAAAATTTATGTTTTCGGTTGATTGATTAGTTCAACGTGGAGAAAAAAGATGGGTGATTGTGTTAGTTTTGCTCACCCTTCCTAATAAGGATATGATAGAAAATGCTTCCCTTTTCTTCCTGACGTCCCCTAATTAAATATAAGGCATCGATCCTTTTTAAAATTGTAGCTCTATGACTAAACATACCCTGGGTACCAGAGCCACAAAATTTCGAGCGCGTGAATAGCAAACCAAGCGGAGGAGCGTCTCCACTCCTATCTTCTGTTTCTGCTCTCGAATTAATGTGGTTCTGGTACCCAGGGTAGAATGGACATTGATAGGAAAGTTTGAAATTTGAATACTTTCTAAGTTGAAATGAGGTTCCGTGCTTCTATGTAGCACTAAAGTCTATCTGCAATATTAAATAACATGCAATTAGCAAGATATTGCATTGCTTAAAGCAATATAGATCGTTCGTAAACATCTTGTTTTCTCAGCACTCTTACAATATTTGTTTAAGTATGCAAATATTTTTCCATATATGGGACATCCGTGACAGTCATTCGAAAGTTAATTGTCGATTACCGATATTTTTCCATGTAAACTGTCTAAAAGTACAATATAACAGTTACTGGACCTTGGATGTAAATAAGTACAGCTGTTATCAACAATTGTTAGAAATTCCTGTTAGGTTTTTAATGTTTATCAGTAATAATGTCATGAAAACCACAATTAATTGGTGTCGCTATAGTATGTTTGCGTAGTCTCGTTGTTTGTTATACGAGAACTTCTCAATTTTATAGCCATGAGCTGTTGTAATTTCTACTGCTAGCAATGTGTGTTTTTCACATACATATATCAGTAACTCAAGCACATACTTGATAAAAGTAATTTATGGAGCAAAAAGCCTTTATTTTCTTTATATTGCAAGAGCTTGTAGTCACCTGTGCGGACTTTAAGTTTGAGCATTCAGAAAATATTGATGGTCATTCTGAAAGATTTCAGTTTCATGTGTTTCTTGTTGTTTGAAGATGGCAGCGACGGGTTGTTTTCATCCTTTGTTTACGCTTGTTTTGTCTGTTTTAAGAATGTTCTATTGAATAAGACTCATGCTAATCTATAGCCTCGCTTTTAGTCCCCATTTGGGAAGGTAATCAGCATTATTATAATCCAGTCAGAATTAATTCTAAATATAATCTCATTTCCTTGAAGCTTACATCAGGGCTCTCTAACCAGAAGCTTACATCAGGGCTCTCTAGCCAGAAGCTTACATCAGGGCTGTTGGTTTCCAAGCTCAATTCTTTATAGAATTTCGAATCATAAAACACATTCTGTGTTTTAGTCTTTTGACCACATGGCCATGTTTTCGGTTATTCTGAGCGGTTCCCTTCTGTGAAGTTTACAATTAGCAGGTTGCTTCATTTTTGCTACCTGGATAGTACTGAATGCATAAATCAAAAGCATTGCCCTGGTACAAAACGTTGCCTGTCACTGTGAAGACATGCGTTCTATTGAAGCAGGTTTTTCATACATTTGAGCATATGTTTTGTAAATCACTTTACTTGGATTTCCCGCATTCTTTTGTCATCTTGTGAAAAGGTCAAGGTACTAAGGTCCCGAAGCATGTTTTAATCGAGTTTGTTTATTTGATATTATCTTTTTATGCTTCATTCGCTGTTCATCAAGGACCGTGGAAACGTATGAGTGGGGTTGAGAAGACCGAATGGCCTGACACCCCAGATCATGCACCGAATCATTCTTTCTCTTTTTTGCATTCTGGAAACTTTTATGCCGCCCCTCTATTATTCGTTATATGTCTCATTGCCCCTCAAAACTCACATCTCCATGGGAATGTAAAAATGAAACAAAAGTTGTCTTAAATGAGCCTAAATTCAGATTTTGATTCCTCGCTTGAAGGTTTGCTAAGCTTCTTGACAGAAAGAATTAACTGGGAACTGACTTGCAATTTTATCGATTTTTGCTAAAATAGTTTTCTCAAATTGGCATTTTGTTTTTTTGCTAGCATTTTTATTTGGTGTCCAGTTAAGTTACTTATCGGGATTATCTTTGTTTCATTGTTACTCCAAATCCCATTTATTAAATACATAAGGGCTGTTGAGCTAATAACTAATGTTTCTAGTTTCAAAACGTATCAAATCTATTCAGTATTCAGATCGTCAATACATTTACATATGCTGACATCAATTTAGTTTCCAGTTTACTGTTAATCTTTTTTCTTTCAGGCAAGTCGACCAGATGGCGACAGTGAAAAAATAACTCTCCTTGTGTGCCTCCTTCGCGCAGTTTACGACCAACGGCAAAAGCTCCATAAACATAATTTACCGGGAATGAGCCTAAATGTTAGTATTTTTGCAATTATTATTATTTTGAAAAGTCTCGAAAGTATTTTGTTGTTGTTGAAGATTTCAAATTGTTAAGTGAAATAAAACAAATCAACGGTCTGAAAAGCCACTACTCAACGAACACGAACAATTATCAATACAAATTAAGCCAATGCTATTTCATAAGATATTTATAACATCAAGATGTAACTTCCCGTTATAACGAACTTAATGTCCGGTACCTAGGATTCTGCCCAAAATTCTCTCGGTATAACGAACCCCGGATATAACGAACTCTCGATATTACGAACCAAATTTGGGGTCCCTTCGTCATTATTACCCTCGATATAACGAACTTATCCTGAATCCTTCATCTGCTTTTTATACTTAACTATTTTCGGTGTTCATTTATCACTTAATCTTGTGGAAAATCATTTTTATAATCGGCAAAACATGCTGATGATACATTTCAAGCAATGGCTGATAGACTCAGTGCACGAGATGAAATTTTGATCGCACATATGAGACATGAATCAATGAGCGGCGATTAAATTTTATTGGGAGACCAAAATGGATTGTGAAAAGAAGAAGACAAATAAGAATGTGAAGTAATCGAAGACGTCATTCAGCCGCCGACTAAAAGTGAAGTGATATCAGCTTTGCCAAGCTCTTGGTCCTAAATCATAAGAGGAACATAACGATTTTCATTTTCGATGACTAACCATTAGAAATATTTGAACTCAGCTAGGTTTTTTTGGAGTAAAATGTGCACAGAAGTTAGAGATAGCCTAAACAAGCCCACCCAAGGTATTTTAGGCGTGTACTAGAAAAATACCTATTACAGGTTTTCTCCCGGTTTAACGCACTCCCGATTTAACGAACTATTTTCTGGTTCCCTTCAAAGTTCGTTATATCGGGATTCCACTGTTCTCTACACTTTCCCGTTATCAGATGTAGTGGGACATGACAATTTTACCAAAATCTCGCAAACTAATGCAATCTTCTATTCAAACATTTTCTTTTCACTTTCACTCTATTCCTATTTTTAAAAACTAGCTGCCTTGTTCCATAATCCACAAGCCTTTCCAAACTCGACTGCCAACATATGCACACTTTAAGCATACTGCGCGATGGACGATATTCCATCCTCTAAAGATACTCTAAGTACATTCCATTATGGTTAAAAAAACGAACAAGCTTTTTCTAGACACGAAACGCAAGGAGTCGTTTTCCCCCAAAAAAGACACTGATTCCCGTGGACATGAGTATAAAATGTTTTATTCCAAGGGGAGGGTGGTTACCAGCACCCAATTACCCCTTTGACTTTATGTTTCATTAAATACACGTTATTTTATAAATTGAACAATTGAATTTATTTTAAACAATGTTGACCTTATTTTTGTAGGCTCCAACTCAAACGCACACATTTGATGAAACGAGAGACCGTTCCCGAAGTACATTTTTCGAGAAAGCAAAAAAATCCTTGACAAATTCTTTCGATAACCTGATAATGAGAAGGGTAAGATTTGCTTTTGCTCCCTGCCAGTGAATATGGTGATTTCACAAACTTTTGCTCGGTTAAATTTTTGACACTTGTCTTTGAAAAAAAAAATTTTTGAAAGGTCCCACCTGATTGTTCAATGACATTGAGATAACCGCCTTTCGTTCAGGTAAAGGAGAGTCTGATTTTAGGAAGATTATAAACAATACTAAGCATGAGTTTTATATGTTAATACTATTGAACTGCCTTTTTGCCTGCAATTGTAATATATTCTATATTTTCTTTTAAAACACTTTTCTTTATACACGACAAAAGTTAATAACAGCACTCTTGTTTTTGCTGAAATTTTATCCTGTTGAAATATTCGTCATTATTTTATTATTTATTGTTACCAAGCACCCATTTTTATTTTAGGGACGGTTTGATATTTTTCTGAGTTTTAGACAATACAATTATTTGTCTTTTGTAAAAGTCATTGATGATAAAGCTGAATATTGTTATTAGCTGGAATTTCATGCAAGGAGCTCTTTATAGGAAAATAGTATGGAGGCTGTGCTTTCAGAAAGTAGCAAGAAAGTACTGGGCATGTCATATCTCTCAAGGGAAAAATTGGGGAAGGAGGGAAACTTAATTAGAGTAGGAAAAAGAAAGTAGATGAGCAGAAACTAAAAAGCCCAAGCTCTTACGGTCAAAGAGCAAGCACATTGAGCTCAATCATTGATGCTCCTTTACCCACAGACGGGGGGTAAAGACTCACTCCTTAGAAGATTTTATTGACTTCAAGACTCATTGTCAATTTCAATACAAGTTTCTGTATTTTTAAGCTTCACGGATCTGTTGATAAGTTTGTGCTTTATGGTGTTTACTACTTGGTTAACTTACTTTGGCACTGCACTAAAGCTGTTCTGAATTATAAAGGGTTATAACACTCCCCTTAATTTCTCCATGCTTTGGAGGCTTATACCTGATAAACTGTGTCAGAAACTTCATAATCCTCCCTAATGCAACGTTACTTATCTTCTATTTCCACTTTCTAGCTGCTTTGCGCTGTGATTTCGTTTATATCCTCTCTGATACCTCCGTTTATAGATTTCCGTTATGTTGTTTATCTTTTATCATCATTTTGTATTTTATCATCATTTTCGTCACCTGAAACTCGTTAAACCTCATTATCACTGTAATTTACGTCATCAAATAAATCATTATCACTCAGTCGTGATCGTTTTTGTAAATATAAGCAGCAGCAGAACCAAAAACAGCAGCATCGTGTCCTTTTTGTTAGTCCTTCAAGTTTGAATACTCCCGACTTCAGTTTTCTCAAAGGCCATACTTCTCATTGCCTTGGCACGGTCGTCATAATACGGAATTATTTTGTTCTTCCCTCCTAATTTATTAGTTTAAAACGCTTTAATGGATGGCCAGTTATCTCGGGCTTATCCCTTCCTATATAAATGCTGAATGAGAAAATAAGGTCTAAGACTCTGAGGTTTTCCAGCAAATCCTTATGCAAAAATAGTCGTTTCCTGAATAACATTGTACAATATGCCTTTAATTAAAGGGTTTCTTGTATAAAAAACAATTTGTATTTCACTCTGTCACTTTTTAATTTGAAGAACACAAGCAAATTTTGAAAAATGGTAAAAAATGAATGACGATACCTTCAGAAAGCTGATAACAAAATTATCGTTAATTCCCTCTGATCGATTACACCAACAGCCAAATACTGTGGCTTAACTTGTAACTTAACCGTTGTCCGGTGATGCTAACATTACTTAACTCGGAAATTACCTACCTTCTTAAATTATCGTGCAAGAATGTAATTTTTTATCAAACTGGATACTAGCTTTACAATGAAACAAAGAAAACCTACAACAAACACACATGAAGCTTTGTTTTTATAAGTCATAACTTGTAATAAGAATACATTATCACATCTTTCATCTAATCATAATTCTTTTTACAAGTTTGTTTATTTTTGCAGCAAAGAGCGAGAACTTGCCTGAATACAGATACACCTTTATCTGTAGACACGACAAACAACGGGAAGGTATGAGCTATGTGTTTTATTTAGATATTATTTCTACCGGGCTAGTAGTGTATTGTCGGAAGGGGGACAGATCGACCATTGACCCTCCTTCTTCTAAATTTTGTTCGATTTTATACTTATAGTTTGTGGAAACTTTCCTTATAGTAGCAAATTGGCCAACTCTGGCACTTTCTGCTTCCCACACGTTTAGTCTAAATTTCTCGAACAATGTGTCTTTCGTTTACAACCCCCCCCCCCCCCCCCCCCCCCGAATTCGATTGGCACTATGCCGTTGGTGCTGCTCTTTCTATCCCTAGTTTGCCTGAAACATCTCTTAATTCTGCTGCATTATTAACCAAACGTGCTCTGAGCCACTTAGTTTTACCAGAATTAGAATAGAAGCATCGTCAGCTTTTAAATGAATCCATTAATAAGCAAACATCTTTACTTCTTTGCACCACAGCAGCAGCCCTGTTTGTGTATTACAATGAATTTATGAAGGCCAGAAAGATAAATAACAAGTTCAGCTATAGGCAAGTCATCATCGCGGGCAAGCCTAAGGCTTACCAGGCAGCTAGGTTGAAGAACCAAGGACATAATACATAGACCCAATTATCGATGCAAGGTTATTTATTGAACGTCAAATGCTAGGTCAATGCGAATCTCTGTACCCATCTTGATTTCCAGTATTCAGTGAAATGGTGCAAATTCTAATGTTTAAATCACATCCGTCTTATCGCCAACTTTTTGTTGTCCTTACGTCATCTGCTGAAGTCGCTAAACAGGTTTTTAACTTCGCAGGATATATCTGCTGTGGTTTTGACAAAATTCTTTTCACGATTAAACTCTCAAATTGCAATGCCACACAGTTGTGTACCAAGATTCGAGCCAGATGTTTTAGACCACTATGGTCAGTGTTCCAACAGGAAAATTCATTTTTGGCAGTATTGTTGAACAATTGAGTCATGTTGTATATACGAAACAAATTGAAATCCGTCAAAGGGTAACGTCCCATGTTTTTGACGTAGAGGACACTGTTGCAGCGCTTGCCAGTTTTTGCTTTTAGCGTCTCTTTTGTCCTACCTGCCCTGTACTCGGCTACTCGCAAAGTCAGCCTGCCATTATTATTCCACGCTGAAAGATTTACACATTTCCAAATTCTGCTACAAATATTTTTTCGTTGACCAAATGAGTCGACCAAAAAAAATTCATCTCATTTTCTTTTTATTTTTTTGAAAGAGAAATCCTTCCTGTAAAAAATTTGTCAAAAAGTCTCTTAGCAGAAAGTAATTTGGTAATTAGCGTTTCTGTTTTTGTAAAGGTTTTCTAAGAGAAAAGTATAAAAGATTTAAACATGTATGAGTTTTCAAAATATGTATCCAACTACATTACGCTTTTACCCTTTGGCGATATCAATACTTGTTTCTCAGGAAAACTGAGCAAATCAGTAAGAAAATGTTGACCAATTGAGTAGAAGAACTCTGTAATCTATTCTAAACGATTTTTTTCCATTTTCAGTTAACTTCTGACAACAAGAGATGTTTATCGCCCAATTTGCCAAGAGCATCAAGCGAGGAACACGTCAATGAGCGTCAGCGAAGTCGAACATTCAACAGTTGTCCACCGACGCCGGATTATCAGTCGACTAGTCAAACCAGGTTTGTCATTCCTGAAAGTGATGCAGAGACAAAGGCTGAATCGAACAATGATCGAGAAAAGGAGGCTGTCGTCAAAGACGAGCCGGAGGAAAAAACTGGAATTAAGAAGAAGCCTTTCGGGAGACAAGGCTCTTGGAGACAGGTAAGTTTTGTTTCCGCTTAAGATGGAAGTGTTCCGCTCAGTTTTAGTATTTTTATACCCCTTGGTATATTATTCGTGTCACTTAATGTTTACCAGCCTCCGAAAATCAGAGGGTCAGTGGAAAAGCTGCGCAATAAATTGATAAATCACCCACAAAATTGTAACTCTCCCCAACAGTGGAGAATTTCGAAGATTTTTTACAACCTTCTGTGGGAATTACTTGTCGATGATACGGTTTTTGTTCGGAAACTTCTCGTACTTCTATGTCTCCTTCTTTATTGACTCTTTAAGCTCGGGCTCCTTCTTTGTACATCACCTGTTTCTAACGTGGATTCAAAACTTTCTTTCGAAGCCCATTTAAGTTCCTTATTTCAAATGTATGTCTGTTAAAACAAGTGATTCTGCCATCGATCAACATCTTTTAGACAACCCAGATTGTGCAAAACACTATAATGACGACATGTTTCGGATAATTGGCAGAGCCCGGTCGTCCTTCCATTTAGCAGTTTTGGAACCGATCTACATACAAACGAAAAAGTCACCATTGTGTAGACATAAGGAGTTCGTTTTTTCTCTGGGACTCCAGTGGTAATTTTTCTTTAGGCTCGCGGCACTGATTTGTCAACTTTACCGGTCTTGTGCTTGCGTTTTTTCTGATTCGCCTATTTCAATCCACAACTGGGTATATATTTTTCATCGTGTTCTTTCGGACCCTTATTCTTACGTTTTATGCTCCGAGGAGTGTCAGACAAAAAAGCTTTTAGCCAATATGTTATAAAATGTTTGTTTTTTTCAAGGCAACTTTCAAGTTCTTAACCGCCAAAAAATTGATAATGGTTTCCCCTTACCGACGCCGCCGTTGTACCTAAATCGTCGATCAGGCCTTATAACCTAATTTATTTCTTTTTAATCAATATTTCTAGATTCTCTTATGAAAACTTCTAGAAGCACCACAGAACTTTCTTCACGCAATTATTGAAAAGAAAAGTCATTTTTACTTCGAAACGGTGTAAGAGTATTTTTCTTGTCCCAACGCCCGCTCACGCTTCTGTCAGACTGCAGTCTTTAGCTTGCTAGTTTTTGTGGCCGGAGAAGTGAACAAAGCTCAAAACCCTATGTATCTACATATTTTTAAGCATACGATATGTACTTATTTTGCGAGGTGGTACTAGGATTGCCGTGGAGAGAGGGAAGATTTTTTATTTTGGACGCTTCCAGTTTGCTGAAAACACACACTGTGAAATAATTTTTTATTAACAAAACCTTACGCTCAAAGTAATAATGAATACCCACTAGAGAAAAGATTTTTAATGGTTTTATTTGATTTATTTTCTGGTTTTCTTATTATATATTTTGGCATCAGCATACTTTGATGGATTTTCTTCATACTGGAACAGTCTCTCAGATCAGACGGTCCAGGCAATTTCATGGTATCGGGACTATCCCGAAAAATCGGCAGGGCTTCATTTTATAAATGATTTTGCATGCAATAAATTAATTTGCATCACGTCTTGGGTCACCATTGCCGTCAGCATCACCTGGGACACATCGTTTCCACAACAGCAGCTTTTCTACCCTTAAGCACAATCGAGTTATATTGCACTGATTTCATTTATGTTCTATATTTAAGAAGGGGAACCGGTGCTGGTTGTAAGTTAACACTTTTCTTTATGCACAGGATAGATATCATTTCCCGTTGATTGATCTGTGGCAGAAAGTATTTACTTTCTAAATTTGTACCATGCAAACAGCTTAGATGTTTCCTATATCAAAACAAACTTATCGTATTTCAGTATCTTAAATTCAACTGCTGCGTCTTATTACCAAAGGAAACCAAATTTGATATCTCAGACCGCATTAATTCAACTCTGACCTCCAGGCTGACATTACAACGGAACGTCTCTATTAGTCGATTAGTCGATTAGTCGATTAATCAATTAGTCGATTAGTCGATTAGTCGATTAGTCGATTATTATCGTAACCTTTGCTAAACCTGAATCTTCTAATATCGTTCTTGCACCTATTCCTTAACAGAAAAAATCGTTACTCTGGAAGTTTCTAAATTTTCAAGGACTATTTTATTCTCCTACCTGGATTCGCCCAATTTATAGCGATTAGTTTGCATGGCAGAATAATTTAATTATCACAAAAAAACAGCTCTGTTTTCTTTTCTGAAACGCGTGAAAATTCGAAAAGTTTGTAAAATTGCTGTACCTGTACTGAGAGTTTTTTAATTTTCGTCGAACCTATTACTTAGATTTTCTGTTAAATTTTTCTCGCAAAACATTTGCATGATTTTGGAATTCTTTCTCATTTGAAACGAATTGCAAACAGTAAAGACAGTAATGCCGTTCTCGTGAAGCTTTATGAATAATCTATAATACGTCGACTGTCGCTACTGGTTCTATCGTCATCAGGATTATTATTTTCAATATTTCACATATCAGCCGTGATGTTGTTCGTATTACAAGGCAAATCACAGCAAGTCATATATTGTTGGGATTCCCAGTTCCGCTGCGGCCCTTTGGCTAATTGCTGTGCGTCACGCAATTTCAGAGAATCCCATCAAAATAGAGATCACTGCCTCTCCTTGTTTCTAGTTTTTCATAATTCGTATCGTGCTGGTAACGTAAAGACAATGCAATGACCCATCTAAAAACCATTTTGCTTGAATGGTAAGTGAATTTCCTAAGCTTTAGTTTCATTTGCTGTTTCGTACTCACGAATCGTACAGGCTGACCTGTTCCATTGTCCTTTTGTCATGAAATCAAGGATGTAAAAGGTTCTAAATTGCTAAATCTCGTTTTTAGTTCACCCACAATCTTATCATCTGCTGGTGTCTTACACTTTGCGAAATCAGCCCTTCCTATTTCTGTTGCTGCGTAATTTCCGTGGCTGCAAGCTGGCTTTGTTCTTTGTTTTCTTGCACTGTTCTTCGCTCAGCTGTTTCATTTTAACAGAAAGTGCCAATACGTTGTATTTCTACTATGAAAGTTGATCTCCAAAGTCTTAGACGCTCAGTCATAAGAAAAAGGCATCGAAAATGCGAGATTGTATCATGCTTTATACAGAGGCATGGCTCAGAAGGAAGGTAATTATTTTGGGATCGTATAACAAAGAGTGATCAAGCAATGTTTTGGTCGAAAACAACTCGTAATTCGCTTTCGTATTTTGAATTATATGATAAATCAACCAGCAGTTGAAGTATTGTTTCCCAATACGACCTTGATATTTTTTACGTCAAGCTGCCTCAATTCCAAGACCATTGCATGTCAGTAGAAGCAACTGACCTGCTTGTGATATCGATATTCATGATCGTGACGTTATCATTGTTACGTCCGTATTTTGAATATTGCCATTCTCCATTGTTGGCAACTTAGGCCTCTCTAGTGAAATGGACGTGAACGAATCAAATTTGTTTCCGAAGCGACGTTGAAATTGCACAAAAGTTCTCAGGATGTAGAATTAACGCCCTGATAATCTTAAATACTACCTGAAATGCAGCCTCTGCAATGCTAAAGTTTAGATAAATTCTGAAATCAAGAAATATATTCATAGGTAGAGCTAATTAAAATTCATGCTAGAGATTAAAAGTTTTTTAAGTATGATAGACATTGAGTTGCTTATGGAACATATTAAAAGAGTGAGTTTGATTAGCTGCTATATTTTCGCCATAATGTTGCCTCTTTGAAAACAGAAACGATAAATGAATCTCTTAATGTAGTATAGCATTTTGAAGCCACTACGACAAAGAATTTCCAAACGTCGATGACACGACGTTGATTCGACGTGGATGATCTCCTTAGACTACTAGATTTTTTAAACAATGAGAGAGTCACTAATGAATCAACGTTTGGCGCTGTTTATATACCGAAAGGCCTCCGGTTCACACATGTTTACAAAAAAAACTTGAAAATTTGAATTTTATTCTATTTTTTCCGTCCATTTAGACTACTAGATTGATTTTAGCAACCAGGTTTCGATTTTGTTATTCAACCAGCAAACATTCTTTTGCTGATTTCGTGAAGAAGTGAGAAGCAGGAAAAAAACTGCAGATACTGACCTTCTTTAAAACTTCCTTACCTCAAACGTTCTTGTTATTTTTGTTTGTTGTCTGGAAATATTTTTGTAGAGCTGTTAGTGTTGCAGTTTTTATCAAGCCTTTCTACTAAAAAACTATAACTTGTGCTGTCTAGTCGATGAGGTTTTATATTTTTGTTGACCTGAATTTGTAAATTATTTATATGTATGTTTGGATTATGTTAGTAATGTTGTCTGTTTGGTAGGTTTATGTTTGCAATATTCTGTTTTTTCCATCTTGCTGCTACTGGTTTTGTAATCCTACTTGTCTGGTACCTTTGAAGGCTATCTTAATCCATTGTCCCGTTCTATATAATCAATCAGATCCTTTCTGAAGAGCGGAATAACATACCGTAAGAATGCTTTACCTGTAACTTGTAGGCACACCTCTAAAAATAAGCTTGATTGCATTAACAGATGACTCTCAAAAATTGCTTTCATTCGCTTAAAATTCTTCTTGAATGGCATTAAGGACATCGTTGCACTGCTTGCTTCTCCGTCTCCAATTTTTGAACAACCACGGAAAAATATCGTAAAATCTGGCAGTATGTGCAGATGGCGTTTCACCTCACTAGACTCGCGGTGTTCCTCATTTCAATGGGTGAACAACAAAGTTTAGTTGTAATTTTAGACTAAGTTGAAAAGCTTACAGAAATCTGTAGTTCTCGAAACTTTCCGTAATTCTCTTGAGTTTCCTCGACTAAAAAAACGGAGTTGCGTTTGCAAGCCGCAGGGCTGAGCTCAAGAATGTCTATATGTTGATAACGGCAATGGCAATGGCCTTATCAAGACATTATATTGAGTTTTACGTGCTAAGCAAACTACTGCGCGGTCCAAGGGGTGTATCACTCTTTACAAAACGCGTACGAGATCTACAAAACGTGAACTTTTGTAGATTTTTCTCAAAAACAAAAGGATTTTTGCCAAATGCGTGCATGATTTTCAGGCCCAGGTCTTCTCCCGCATTCGAAATGTTTAATACCCTAAAAGTAGTTAATAGATGTTAGTAAATGTAATGGAAATATTTTAAAACATTGTAATTTTCGTTTATCAACGTTATTATTCTTATCTTTCAGCAAATTTACAACACGGTCACTGTGGACGGTGAGTTGTTCTTCAATCTTTCAGAACAAGTTTTTTTCTATGTTGTTGTTTTTATTTCTTTTTTAGTTTATGCAAACATTTCTTCAACCAAAGGTGCTGTTTTCGTGGTTAAAAAGAAAGATGTAAAGCTCTTGGTTTTGCTAGAATTATTGTTTTAAATGATTTTTTGTTTGTTTTGTTTTATTATTTTCTGTTTATGCTGACCTTGTGACCTGAAAGTCAGCAATGCATGTCTTTTTTACAGTCATCTTCTGAAATACTTCGTTTTGTGAGTTGCTCATGTATAGAATGTCTGCCAATTTTGAAAAATCAAGGCCTTGTTTATTCTTCAGTACATAGATAAGTTCGTAACATCCCTTATTAAAGGGGAGAGTACAGCTTCAGTTTTTCAACATGTTTAATCGAGGCAATGCTTTCAAAGCTTCCTCTTTCTCAGCTAATTGGTGACATATTAAGGGTTATTTCATTGCGTTCTTTCATATTTATTGTTCGATTTCACAATGAAGATTCTATTGACAACATAACCAAAAATGTAGTTTTAAATCTTGATTATAATTTGTTTCATCACACTAACTAGTGCATTTTACACAGAGGTGGTATCGAAAAAGTTTGAAAACCTTTGTCAAAGCATGGTCCCGATACTGTAATTCCTCTAAAAATTTATCAAAGTAATTAGGGAGGGGTAAGCCATTTTTTTACTAACCTGTGGAAAATAGCACTATTAGAAAGGTATACACTGAAATGATGCAAAAGATGGGTAGGTTTGCCTTATACTTTAGCTACCAACAAAAGTAATTGCATCTAATGGGGTGCTTAGTCTGCAAATTTCCAAACTTGTCGGCAGATATAGGTGGCGCCAGAAATCTTCCGACAGAGGGGTTGGAGTTTCCGACAGGGGGCTAAAATGACTAAGATATGCAGTTTTCGTACGTTATTTTGTCAAATTTGCTCCGACAATAACCTAAAATTTCCTCCGATGGAGGGGGGCTATATACTTAAGTCGGAGGGGCTGTAGCTCCCTAGCCCACCACTCTGTCGGCAAATGGAAGTTGGGATCCCCCTTGAGCACAATATGTAGCGACGGGCCTGGACCCAACGCTTTTTTGCCAGGACTCATTGATGCTTTAACACATGTGCGCTAAATTTTCTAACTACAAGGTCGTCGGAAGCGGGGAGGCCCCCCCCCAAAAAAATAAATAATTGTTAATTTTTACTATTTTTTTTTGTTATGTTTTATTGAATGGAAGCAATACAATAGGCAGCCTCCCCCTTCTAATATTAATTTAGTTCCGACACTGATCAAACTGCATAGGCATTCTATCTCTATTTCACGCACTATTGGCTAAAATATTACCTTCCGTCGTTAGTGACTGTAACTAAGATTATTTGCCATAGGTGGATAAAAACGATCTGTTCCTGTTGCCGAATTTGTACCAGAATTACAAATATATTGACCTAGGACGAGCTATATAATAAAATTCATGAATGCACTCTAACACCAATTGGCTGTTAGTTTCTTGAAAAGTAGCTTCTTTTCAAAATTTAACCAGCCAAGTGTTAATTTTTTTACGCCGAAATTTCTGAAAATATGCAGATAAAAGTGTTACCTGCACTGCTGCTTTTTCGAAGTAAAGACTCCAAAGTTTGGAATCCAAACATCTTTTTATTTTTTCATCTGAGTTATATCGTTGCTTAAAAGAATGTTTGTTGAACATATGAAGGTTTTGCCTCTCTCGGCTTGATTTTTTTTATTCACTTTTAAAAAAAGGGGATTATTGTCGTGGGAGAAACACCCGCTGTTATTTCATCTCAACAGCGATTTCAGAGAAAACCCCCGGCGACTTTGCTTGAAGCAGCCTGAGGGGAACCCCGTAGTCTCTGTCCGGTTTTGAAAGAATTCTGCGTCCTGTCTTTCCATGACAAACAAAGCGTTATTCAGGCGTGCTATCCTATTTCATCACATTTCGTGATAGTTGTCGTGTTTTCGGCGACCTTCTTGAAAAATGTGGCAGAATTAGGCGGCAAAAAAATACTTCCGAAAAGCAAGAATATCACTGTCGATTACAGCCACGTTTGACTTGAAGCACGGCAATTATGAGGCAGAAATACTTCTGGAAACGCTTGTTCAGCAACGAGATCATCAAGGAAGTTGATAGGACGGAGAAAAATCTTGGTAAGAGTAACAGTGATAACTTACAAGAATTCATACTTAATCGTTAAGTATATTTTCATTTTTGAACGAATTTATGGCCTTCCTTACGATCAGGGCAATGTAGGCTTCATAGTTTGTGATCGGTCTGTTTGTTTACACGCCACTGTATTGAAACAGTTTCAACAACTCAAAGATTCTTTTTACATGGGAAGTTTTTAAGATAAAAAATATTGTGCAATTGATAAGCTACGAATTAAACAGCCCATCAATGTTTTTCCATGTTCCCTTAGTCGCAAAATATTGTAGGAAAATCGCGTTGCTAAGAATTTTTGTTTTGAATCGGTTGACAGCAAAGGATTACTGTACTTTAACATTCAAACAACCATTGTTTTTGCTGGTTGATTGATCTTTTGAACTTCGGTCGACTAAAGTCTACAGCATCAAGGAATCGGCTGTTAAAACCACGAAAGCGATTTGTTTTCTCATTTTTTTTCCACTGCTTCTTCTACTGCGAAAATTTCACTTCGCCAGTTTTTCTGCTTTATATTTAGCTATTATTTTGATTTTTCTGCTATTATCTCTGTTTTTACTTTGGCTGGTCGTGTTCTTACTTCGTTTTTGCTTTTACGCAAAGAGCTTACAAGGTGTGTCTAAAAGGAAAAAAGGGTGCATTTTTGCTGCCTTTATAGTAATAAAAATGTAATGTCATCATAAGAATTATTTTTGAGGAAAACCATTCTACTTATTCTTTTGTTAAATCGTGCGGGGGATATTGGCTTTCATGTCATTAATGAGAAGTTGCAAAGAAAAACAAGCGTTTGATACTGAGCACAGATAACTGATAATTCAAAGACGTGAATTGATACAACACAGGTTCAATACAGCGCAGAATTTTGGCTTTCAATTATTGCTGTAAATGAGTACCTGGCGCTTGTCACGATAATAAGCAGTTGCTGTCACAAATAAACTGATAGGAAGGTGCACTTTTCCCGTTTGGCTACCAAAATGGATCGATCAGATTCCCACACACTCTTTTTTAAAAAAACCAGTATATTGAATTTCAGGCTGGCTTTTCTTGATTTTTTTTAAAAAATTTGAGGCTGGGTTGTTCTTAATTTGTTCTGAAATTATGTGTGCAATTCCTATAAAGTGTGCTTTAGGGTGTAACAAAATAAGTGAGTTACCCTTTATTTGACGATAAGTTCGAAAATTCACCGAAAAAGCATTCAAAGATGACAAAAAACTCCTTGTTTTGAGATTACAAGATTGTTCAAAATCAAATTTTACAGTAGTTCTGCCTAAACTTGTTCATCATTTGTTCTCTAACTTTTGAAGAACTTGGTGGTTCGTGTTATTATGAAATTGATACTTTAAAAAAGAGTGTATTATTGCAGTCTCTGTTTATATATTGTTACATTAAATTGATAGTACGCCATTAAGGGCACAATTTAGGCCTCATCCCTTTTAGGGGCCCTTTCAAACGACTTGTCATTCAAACAACAGTGTTGTTGTTGTTTCAGATAATTGTTCGAAAACCCACTTTTTTAGAAACAAAGTGTTCAGAAATGATGAATGACCTTTTAGTCGTCGGTGCTCGCACCCATCATCATCTTTTTAAATAAAATATCATAAATACGTAATTCAATCTTGCCTGGGCGTGTCAGAAACGCGATACATATGAATATAGTTTAGCATACAGCTGTGGCTATGAAATACTGGCATCTGAAGCGTTTTTGAGGAAATTGGACTGCAGTTTGAAGGTTACGACGAGTCTAACACTGTAAATTTGTGCTTTAGCATATGATATGCTAAAGAAAACGTGATGATGAAAATTTCAACTTTTCTTCGATTTCTTGGCTGGCGAAACAGCTCTTTGCTCGGTTACTGCTCAGCAAGATCCAAATGAGTTAGGCCCATACCGATACCACAGTCATAAAATGATGTTGATGAAAATGCCTCGGGCTTTTTATTATATTCCAGCCCACGGCTACTTAAGTCTTACAGCAAGCTCCCTCAGTAAATGAGATCTTTTCGGCAGTCTCCATTGTCTGTGAATAATAATTGATTTTCATTGGTGGAAGGGGGAGTTACATATGTCTTACGTATTACATTTAAGGCCCTCATTTCATCGCTCTTCTATTTTACTCGTTTGTTGAATGGCTGATTTTTATAATGACTACACATTTTTGGCACTCTGCGTTCTTTGTTTAAACTTTATTTTTTGAAATGCTCCTGTTTTCGTTACGTTTCCGTGGAATTAAGACAATTGTTTAATTTGTGGCTACCTCACTTATTACAGTCTGACCTACAAGTTGCAAATATACTTGATTGCATTTCGTACAATATCAGGTAACAATATAACTTTGAATTTGAAATAAAACTGTACTTAGAGAGAATGAGTAAATCATACTAACGAGGCAGCCGGCTATGCTCAAAACGTCGTTAATATAATTCGCTCTTTCTTTCTATGTCCTATTTTTACAAATTCAAATTTATATTGTTAGTGTGTTATGAACTCAAACTGCGAAAGCGATGCTCTTACTACTGCGAAAGCCATTGACACCAGTTATCAAAAGTTCGTCGTGTTTCGGCTGTTGAATCTTAAGCTGCAGAAAAAAGTTCTCCAGTTATCGCATTTTGTCTGTTCTATATGCATAAGATTAAGATTAGTTTTCTGTTGTTATATCTATCTGTACGTCAATTGCCTGTTTTTCTTTTCAGTTTCAATCAACGAAGAGAAGAAGGAAGATTCGAGCTCGCTTGCAAAAGCAAGATGGCGAAAAGCAATTATGGAGCAAATCCTGCTCATCCGAATGGAAAGAGAAAACCAGAATTTAGAGAGTAAGTGGATAAATTTGTCTACATAGCTGCCTTTCGTGATTGTATTTTTATTCATCAATTCAGGGAGATGACATTAGCTAATTTGTTGGCCTTGTTGTGAGATATGTCTTGAAGATTGCCCTTCTTTCGACGAAGCTTTGTCTCGGTGAAAGTTACAGATTGACAATAGAGTTAGTGAACTTTATATTAGATTACATATGGAGGTACAGCAAATTTAGGATTATCGACCATTTTGGAATGAGCTTATCTGGATGAAAATCGTTTTCCTATTTTCAATAATGCTTTTAAGAAAATTTTTTGTTAGTTTATTTATTACTTCAATAATTTAATGTGACTTCTCTCTGCCACCATAGCAAAAATTAGCGCAACAGAAACAAGACGTGAGAAACTGAGCTACGAAGTTTATGAACATTGCAGTGCCGAAGCTGCAAAGACGTGGGATGAAATTCTTGCGAAAAATTGGAAAGAGAAGGTTGACGATCAACTGCTTATGGCTGCTGTAAAGTCTGGTGAGTGAGTTTGAGCTATCGTAATCATGGTCTCTAGCAATTTTCATCAACCTGAATTATCATCAACATCGTTAATCATTAGCATCATTAATCACTATCGTGATCACGGCTACTTGCTTACTTAATCATTCAAGTTAATCTAGCAATCAATTAAACAACATCACCGAGGGTCATTATTATTCTCTTTGTAATTGTTATCATTCACATCATTGTCAATCTCCATTGTAATCATCATCATCATAATCGTGATTATCATTTTACCTAATTGTTTCAGTTAGCCAGCAATCAGTCAATCAACGAAATCATCTCCATTGTTATTATTGTTCTTGTCATTGTTATCATACACATTGTAATAATCATCCGTATATCAGGAATCATTAATATCAGTTTAAATATGCACTGAAAATGATTAGGATCCGAGGGTTCCTTGAGATTTTGAAGAGATATGCTGATAAGGAGTCAAAAGAGAAATTTCAATTTCAAATTTTGTTTTTAAGCAACTAATTGCCGTAAGCTTTAAATCAATACAACGATAGATAACATATGTAAGGTTAGTTGCTTGGGATACTTGAAAAGATCAAAGAGGGTTTTTGAATCAAGGACTCTAGTTTTATCGATAATGAGTATTGAATATTAATTTTTTAAAGGGTTAGTAAACCAACAGGAATATAGACAAATAGTGCCTTGGTGCCCGTTTTGTCTTATTCTATTTATTTGCATAATTTTTGACATTTAATGATAAGAACCATGTAATGGTTGGTATTTGTGTTGCCTTAGCAAATGGATACATTATGTTAAAATTTCCCTATCTTTTTCCATTTAAAGGCGTTCCTAAATATCGACGCGGTGAAGTCTGGAAGTTTCTCGCGCAGCAGCATGCAATCCGGGCTCCTAAAAAAGACGAAGACCAAAGAAATTCGAAAAGTTATGAAGAGCTTCTGGAACAGCCAACCACACATCAACATGCTATTTTGATCGATATTGGTAAGTACCCTAGTGACACTGTACTTAAAAGTTAGTCTTTGTTATTGTTTCTTGCATTTTCTAATTATCTTTTTCCACGTGTTTGTGTGTTATTTACAGATAGTAATTGATTCCAGTAATTTTGAAGCAAAACCCACACGTAGCAACATTATTCGTCTTTTAATGCAGAAATTAATCTTTGATGTATTCAGAACTTCCTATATTTGAAAGGCCGTTGTTATCATGTTAGATGGATTTGCACAAGCAGACGTTTTTCATATGTTTTTTATCGATTGACCACATACGAAGTAAAAAATAGTAAAAAACGTACCTATACATAAACAAAAAACTAGATTGCCTTTTTTAGCCTTGAATGGCTTCCTTCCGACTATTAATCTGGCCCAAAATCTTGTCATAGCCAACCTGTCATTTCATTATTCTTTTCATCACCGTTAAGACCATTATTTTTAACCATTCTTTCTAACCATTCTTGCCTTATTGTCCGGAAGATGTCATTGAAAGGTATGAAAAGTAATTATAATAATGTTTATAATAATATGAAAAATTTTAAGTGTATATCCTGTCATAATTATCTGCAAAGAGAAAAGTTATTTGCAACATCGCCCTCTGTAAAAGTAAATTTAAAAACTTAGTATTAAAAATTAAAAGGGGGATATTACATATAAGCATTTACAAAGTCTTGCTTCATAGAATATGTCCTAAATAATAATTGCTACAAAGTAGAGTTATTTCACCAGGTGAATTGTTAGAAAGTAATTAGAAAGAACTTTGTTGTTATATGAATTGCTGAAAATTCTCTTTTAGGCCGCACCTTCCCCTCACATGCATACTTCAACGTCTCTCTTGGAGCTGGTCAAATTGGCCTTTTCAATACCTTGAAATCCTACTCACTGTTGGACGATGAAGTCGGCTATTGTCAAGGACTTAGTTTCGTGGCAGGGTTGCTGTTGATGCACGTAAGATCTTTGTTTTTGTTTTATTTACCTTGACTTTAATTGCTAATTCATTTGCTAATCAATAATTTTTATTGAAGACGCTGCATTGTTCCTTAACTTATCTTTTCCTGTAGCTCCTAATTACTAGCCAATCTGACAACATCTTTGTCTGGCAAACCAATTGCAATATTCCTTATGTGTCGTAGAATTTTCTGCTTTTGATATTTTGATGTTGTGGGTTTTTATGATTGACAACATTTCCTGTTATTTTCATTACTTTATGTTTTATACGTTTTTTTGGTTTCATTAGCAAGTCGCCAACGTCCTTTGATCCACAGTTCTTTTCAGTCCACGGTCCATCTTGTTCAAGCCTTTTCCTGGTCCGCCCAATGAACTATTTTAAATGAGATTTCACACTGAATAGCGTTTTTGTGCAATGAAGGGAACCATAATGCCTTCCCTTATTTTCATTTGAACGCATTTTTATTTTATGCCTTGATGAATATGAAAAAATTTGTCTCCTTTTGTGTAACTGACTCACTTTCTGCACGATTTTTAGATGTCAGAGAAGGAAGCTTTTGACTTGTTCAAATATGTGATGTTTAACATTGGAATTCGCAGTCAGTACAAACCTGATATGAATGCTGTTCAGGTATACCAGCGAACATTTATCTGTTCTCTGTGCTTATTTCGTTGCCATCAGTAAAAACAAATTTTAAAGCACCCATTCGTATTTACAACTCAAGTATCTTTGCAATCTCGGGTCGCTTTTGGAAGACCTAAGCTGCAAGTGGTGGTGTAACGGGACACCTGGGGCCCTGGTGGAAATTAAAACGGGACCTCTATTTACGGACTGCAAAAATGTCCCACCCAACTTTGTAGAGCATGTCAAACAGTATAGGATGGTGTAAAAATGATAACTTTTGTCGTTAACTAAGAGGAGCTGAGTTTGAGAAGCTTCACTTTAGAAGCTTCAAAAAATTTTGAAAATTAGGTGAACTGGGGCGAAGTCTTGAAAACATGGATATGAAAATAGTTTTGGGGTGCCTTTTGGTCGGGGACCCTTAGCTATCGAACCAAGTTGCCCTAAACTGCGTTACGCCACTGCTGCAAGAGCGTAATTGAAAAGCAGTGCGCGTTGAGATTATCCATTAATTGTCTGTTATTTGGAGTTTGTTAGTTAAGGTTTCACGGTATAGCGAGTAACAATCATTTAATTTAAAGGTTATATAATATCTTATAAAAAGAGTTGAGTGCAAGAGTACTTGGTTGGGAATTATATTGATAAAAGCCACTTTTCACTGTACCAATTTTTGTATCTGATAGGGTTAGGAACTCTTCTCAATGTTAGGTATATCATGACAGTATGCGCTAGTTGTGAATATCAATTTTTGAAACAAAATTTCTCTTTGCAGCAACAACTTTATCAGCTATCTCGTTTGTTACACGATGTACACCCCAACATCTATGAACATTTCAACACACATGACGTCACCCCAACCCTCTACGCAGCGCCATGGTTTCTCACGCTGTTTGCATCGCATTACCCAATTGGCTTTGTAGTCAGAGTTATGGGTAAGCTGATAATTTCGTTTCAATTTAGTTTAGGTCTCATATAATGCTTGAGCTTATGACCGTCTAATTTTTTACGAGGATATGGCTGGCCTGACCTCCGCGGAGGAAACTTCGGTAACTTTTTCCATGTTGGTCTCTTTTTGTTGAATTGTTTTTCTGCTTTAGTTCGTTCTTTGCTATTGAGCACCTCTATGAGTGCATGTGAGCGGAGTTTTCTGATAACCCTACTTTGGAATCTAAAAATTTGCATTATTTGCGACACAAGGTGAGGAAAGCGTTACGCCGCACTATCTTGTGCAGACATGTGCCATCAAAAGGAATTGATCACAGGAAAGGTGACTTGTTTAGTTCGATGTGGGTTTCGCTGCTCACATGACACCACTCATACGCGTATTGCTTGACCGATAGTGGAGCTATTAAATTTAAGAAAAAAAGCAACTAGCAAACGTTAAAATAAATGCTGTACAGATATAGAATTGATATTATAATTCTAGAAATTTGTTACTTCTTTACAAAATAAAAAAACGCAAGTATCTAGCGTTCTTGGGAATGCGGTTTATTTTCTTTTTTATAGTAGAATTTAATTTGATAAGATCTTACTAGATTTGGCTATAATTATTAATTAAAGCAAACTTGTTTGACAAAAAAAGGATTTGGCTATAATTTTCTCATATTAGTATTTATTTCTAAAAAAGGATTTTGCTCAAAACTTGACGTTATCATAGGAGCTTTTTCCTTGATAATGACATCATTTGATAATGGGTTAATGGATGGCTCGGTTGTTAGAGGCGCTGACTACGGAGCCAAGGGTCCATGGTTCGAGTCCCTGGCATGACCAAACTTTCACCGAATGAGGAAAGTTGCCAGCTCTCTGTAATTCCAGGCGTAGAAATCATGAGGTGTGGTCACATCGAGAGGAAGGACCAGGATACTGCTCGATAAGCATAAGCTTTTCAGTGTCAAAAAAACTACAACTACAATTGATAGAATTTCAAAATGGAAAATAGCAATTATGTGAGACGTTGCTGTCTTCTCTCACTGTCAATATTCTGATAAGGTGATCAAGCAATCCTAAAAGCCAAGTGGTTTCTTGATGCGAAGTTGATTTCTATTTCTCAAATTTTATCGCTTTCTTCTTGTAGATCTTTTGTTCCTGCAAGGACTGGAAGTTGTTTTCAAGGTTTGTCTTTTATCAAATTTCGTCTTATGCTTATGTTTTTTTGGTTTCCATTTTAAAGGAAAGTTAATATCTCTCTCAAATCTTGCTGTTATGGTCTCGTGATCCAGAAACCTTTGGCAAACAAACATCAGTTTAGAAATATAGTTCATAAACTGAATTTCATTACATTTAAAACCACTTCTCCAAATTTCAGATTGGTCTTGGCCTGTTTGCCAATAGCTGTACGGATATTCTTGAGTGCGATGGCTTTGAGACAATAATTGACTATATGAAAAACGGACTGCCTGAAACAGTCAAGACGGATAGTCAAGAATTAATTGCAAAAGCGTTGGATATGGACATAAAATACCAGCTGAACTTATTTGAGGTTGAATATCAGCTCTTGCACGAAGAGATGATTGATATACGTCAAAATCGGGAGAGATATGAAAAGCTCGAGGCTGCAAACAAGGAACTGGCGCAACAAGTTAACGATTTAAAATGCGAGCTAGACTATGCAAAGGAGAGTGCAGAGGCAATGAGGAAAGAGTTGTTGGAAACGAGAGAGCATTTACGCAATACCGACGTATTGAGTACACAAAACCAAGAACTGATGTTTCGAGTTGCTTTGTTGGAGGATGAACTGAAGTCACTTGGATCCAAAGGAGGATATAAGCATGTAGAAGAAACAGACGGGGCATCGATGTCACCAGCATCGTCAGAAGTCGATGGGATTATGTTAAGTGGGCTCGAAAAGAAATATTGTATTGAGACTCAATCGAGTGTAGAAAAGAGCTGGGAACTAGTGCCCAGCCCTGCAACAGTTAGCCAGGAAATGATTAGAAATTCGCCAGGGTCGAACAGAAGCATTAACGGTGCTATTTCAAAAGAGGACCTCGAGTCTTCCGAAGAAGCTAAGGAACGACATCCTATCTTGATCAACTGCAAGTCAAGTAGCGCCGAGTCTTATGAATCAGACGACCTTATTTGCTTCGACGATTCAACAGCATGTGGACTTAGCAGTGGCGTAAATAAGGTTCTGTCATCGTCAGAAGAATCGTTGTTGGACGAAAACACGGACCAAAAAGCCTGCTCCAAGTCTCCACTGAAGAAAAAGAGACCGGCACTTCCTGTTATTCACACCACTGGCCTCCTTGCTACATGCAAAGATCCAGAAATGATCAGCAAAGAATAAGGTCCGTTTTATTGCTTCGTTTTAATGTACCTCTGTAGATGGCAAATATTTGTAGCTAGATGATAACATAAGGATATTTCAAAGAAAAGCTCTTTGTGCAGGACGCTTCGTAGAAGATGTTCAAGACGATTTGTATAATCTGTGCAGGATCTTTCATAGGTGTGCTCTCATCTCCAATAGGTTTCATCATATCCCCAATAGGTTAGTTGTACTGAATACAGCTCTGAGGAACAAAGCTTTGATCTATTTCTAGCAGGACTAGAATGGTCACTTGTCCATTGCTGTACCTGGTGTACATGGCTGTTTTGTTCTTCATCGACCGTATAATTTTCTTCAAGAGAAATATCAATTACCTCTAAAATAAACTGAAGAGAACATTGATCAAAATCTTCACTTGTTACTAGTCAAACTTTTGGTTAGTAGTAACAGTCACAAACACACCAAAGCGTTCTTTTATAGAAAGTTGTGGTACCAATCCTCTTAGATGAGACCCACCCCTTTTAAGGAGGCTATATATACTGAGAGTTTCCAATGGACAGAGTAAACAAACTCCATACATTGTTGAAGGTTTAATTCCAATTAACGCTTACTAGCACAATAGTTCAGATAAACACCAAGAATTGATTGCACGACCATTTGCACAATCGAAATTGAAAGACACAGATTGTTCTGCAGGCCTGAACTTGCTTCATAAAAAATATTTAAAGGAAAAAGAGCTTTTTCTTTGTTATCTTTTTATTTGGAGTTTAACAGATAACTATTGCGTTTTTAATATCTGCTGTTGATTTCTCGACTATGATTGCAAAGTATGGCGTTTTCAGATTGGGTGTCGCATGCTTAAGAAATTATTATTCCTAAGTTTTGCTGTTTTTGTGAAATGTTATTGATATTTGAGTTTTGAGTCGTTTGAAGTTTCATTTCGTTATTTGGAAGCAAAGAGGCAAGGACGCATTTTTGTTTTGTGAATAATGATGCAGTTAAGCCAACGAAGGGTTTTTGCTGTAATGAATGATTTTCAATGTCAAATATCAAACTGGATGAGCTTTCTTGTAACTGTGAAAAAAAGATTCGCTACAAGAAAGACTCTTATTTTTAAAAAAATACGACTTTTCATTTGCGTTATATTCTTAAATTTTACCTATATGTTTAAAAATGTCAGAATTTATGTGTTGAATACCTTGATTTCTACCGAAATTCACTATCTGGTAAAATGTATTATATTTTTGATCAAAATCACTTGACCTCGACCTCGAGTTGGTGGGCATTCGCACTTAATACTAGTTGAAAAACAACCTTCAAATGTTCTCATGACGTTTGATTCAATCTATAAACCAAAGAAATTGCACTGTCATGTCAACACCTACATTTAGCGGTTTGATGTTAGCATTTGTTTCCAATAACATTTTTCAAGCAGCATATTATCCGCTGTAAAAGACATCAACCATTTTACAAGTATTATTAGCCCTATTTTATATTTTTTATGACACCAACATATCCCCCCCCCCCCCCCGCTTATATGTTGTTGTAGTTATGCCGATCCTGAAGTCTGCGAATTTCCACCAACTAGATAATATCTCTTTGATATTAATATACCCAAGCAACTTTTCTGACCCTGGGCGCTTATGTCCCTCTTTGTCCATTAACGTAGTTTTCGTATTACTGTGCTCAGGTTTTTTTAATATTTCTGCATTTGATATAAGCAGTTTCTTAAAATGTTCACAAAAATGAGTCCAACTACATGTTTATGGTTACAGAGAGGCACATAAAGGGAACAGATTTGGTGTAAAAACGTAAATATTGTGAATTAAGTTAAATAAAAAAGAGGAAAGTTGCTTGCGTTTAAGTAAGCATATTATATCATTTATTATCAACAAGTTTATTGAAGGAAGATTTATAAATGAGAATAGCTTAAATTGATAAAAACTCTCCTTTTTGTCTATTCAACTTTCATTGGATTATAACGACCTTGAACTGAAATAGGCCAAGACATGATGTCGGGTCTCTTTTGCTATTGGCGTCCGGCAATTGCAAGTATTTTGTTCAAATCATTTGCGAAAAGGGTCCGCTTCGGCTCTTCTCGTTCATGTACCCTTGGAAAAAGTAGGGAGCTTATATGCAAGAAAGAAATTGTAGGAATGCAAAAGAAATGTAAAGGCCCAATAAACCGAAAGACTTTGTGCGCACCCTTTACACACACCTTTTATGAGAATATTTTTACAGAAACAGAAGATGCAGATCAAAAGAAATTTTATCAGAGTTAATTTCACGATGGATGTTGTAGAATTTGACTGCGCTAGGGGTTCTTATTGTATCTGATTTGTATTATGTTCATTTGGGTGTCAATCGTCATGCTTTAATTTGGTATTTAAGTCCTTATCTACTGCTATGATGCCAGTGGGAATAATAGAGAAAAGGAGTTCTGTAGTTTGAGCTTCTGCATGAAAGTGTTGGTCCCTTGACTCAGATGGGTGTATTTCATTTGGTTTGGTTTGGGCTGATCATGCTCGATGCTGTTTCCAAGCTGTTCTCTTCACGCAAATGTTTTTGGCTCAGGCTTGCTGATGAAGGGGTGACTGACAAAGTATGAGTGTCTCTACTGGCTAGCAGGTATGTCTACCAGGCTGTTTTAAGAATGCTCTGATTACGATAGCTGGGTCTCCTGCAAAGATATTTAGTACTTGTATGAATTCGCGCATTCCCGCTTCATCCAACATAAATTTTGTCACCTCGTGCTTGTGCCTTTGCGGATTTCTTCCAGTCGCATTAAAGTTGCAACAATTTTGGGATATAATTTCACAATCATTTGTCTTTTAAAATTTTATTTGAGTGGCAAGTTTTATTGTTGCTTGAAAACTGTTATTCCGACATGTGCCACGTATGGTATCCTTCAGAAGCTGGGTTTCTTTAAACTTTTCTTTAATATGAACGACCAGGTATGACCGACCAGCCTTCAGTTAGATTGAAAGCTCTTCTTGCAAGAAATTAGATGAATTATCAACTTTAGATGCTTTTTCTTTAGCCTTACATCAAGTTTTATTCCTAGATTTAGGCCATGCTATTGCAACAGCGGTTTATTGTTAGAATGAAGGTTTAAAACTGGAAAGAAATGCTGCTGTTACAATGCTTTTGTTGCAGTTGTTGCAAGTTTTCAGAATTAGGCCTTTATTTAGAGCCTTTGCGGACATTGTTAGACCATTTTTGGGGGGAGGGGGGGGCTAGTTGTTGTTATGGCAAGAATATTCTTGTCTTACAAATATTCTTGTATCTAAAGACCGGTCAATTGGGCGCTTTTTAATTTGCTCTTAATATTTTCGTTACCCCTGATGCGGTGGCAGCACGAGTACTTGTGCATTCTGTAACCATGTACCTTTCGCGAGTGTATGGCCCGAGCATAGTAAATTTGTTTAGTGTATTGTGGTCAATGAAGTAATGCCTAATATTTTCGATGTTGCGTCGGTTCCTTAAATAATTGGTGTCAACCTTCCTAATGTCTGCCGTAAGATCACATTTTATTATGCATAATTTTATAGACCCTTTGTTAGCTTATTTTTTAATACCCTTCCTTATTAAGGAGGTATTTGGAATTGAACTAGACTTATAGGCTGCCTATCATCCCCAAATATTTATTTGGATTATGTCATATAGGGAGGACACTGCTCAGACAAGTACCAAAGTAAGGAATGTAGGATAGAAAAATTTAGCACCTCGGCAGAGTAGTGAATATGCTCTCAGTTGGTCAGGTGTCGTTACTTATGTTACTCAACCCAGGGGTGTATTGCTACTTAAAGCCCACGAAATGGTGCTACCATCCCTTTTTTGAACCTGCTGTGTACCCCTTTCCCCATTTATATTTAAGGGATTTTTATGATAAAGTAACCATTCTGTTATGATTGTATTTTACTCGAGGAGAGCAGCTACTGTATAAGTCAATGTATTTGCTCGGGTTGAGCAAGAATGAGTGCGTGTGCTTGTTCATCTTGTTCAAGGTGGCCAGAAATTTGGAAACTTGAGGAAGTTGAACAATGTTTATAGCCTTTTGATTTTTCAAAATACAGCCAAAAAAATGAAAAAAAATCAGAATAAAATTCAAAAACCTGTTTTTTTATACGAATATGTTTGCAGAACTACTTTGCATTCTAAAATTCAGGCATTAACTTTTTATAATTTAAATATTTGAATCATGTGCACTTAATAGACCTACATAAATAATGCGAATTTCTTTTCAACCAATAGCAGTAATTCATTGCACAATACCAAACTGGTTGCTTTTCGTATTAAAAGACATGCAAAAAAATAGTTGCCTGGTGAACTCTGATTTTCATTATACGATTTTCTATTAATCGATATAAACATTTTACTTAACATTGGTTTCTAAAAATATTTATAGTTGAAAACAAACTACAAATCTCTAATAAAGTTTTGAAAAAACATAATTACCAGGAGAGGAGATAAACCCATTAAAATGAGGAAGGTTTTAAAGTAAGATTTTCTTGGCCGGAGGAAAGGTAGACAATTTTTCTGGACTCTGCTTAAGAAATTGTAACATTGAATATTTGTGTCCTATTATCGTGTTTTGCTCATGTCGAGCAAGTTTGCGTAAATGAGTGTCTCGGGTAGAACAAGTAAACATGAGTGTAATTGCTAATGACATATCAATTATTTCATGATTATATTTTGCTCATGTTGAGCAAGTTTGAATAATTATGAATAATTACGACTAACATAAAACTATTTCAAGAATAACAAAAGACATTGGAAACTTGTTCTGAAGAAATCAAGTTTTAATCGGATTAATGAATTTTTTTAGTAGTTTGGGCTCTCTTTATTGGTTCTTGGAATGAATTCCAGTTTTCAGATCCTTGATAACTTAATGATCTGATTCAATTGTTGAAGGGCTTTCTTGTCAATAGGATTAAGGTTGTGCACACCTATTACACACTACTTTTATAAGAAAAAATTTATAAAAAAGGAGCTTTTAATTTGTTATAATATTAAGAGCAATTCGAAGCTGAGGTACTTGTAAATGTAAAATAATTTTAAGATCATTTATGTGAAGGCTATTTTCATTGCACAGAATCGTTTAAGAACGAGTAAAGAACAATGCTTAATAGCCAGCCTGGACCTCAATTTGCTCGATCTTGGTTCAATGCACAGACATGGTAACCTACGCCGTAGACCCCTCCCCCTCCCCCTCTTCCAAGCGGAGGGCGTAGGCTACAGATAAGGAAGTCAAACCAAAAGAAACCAAATCTGTCCCCATAATTTTGTAATTCAAAACTTTGATAAACGAAGCAGCTAAATTTTACGCACCTCACTTACAATTTACTGCATATATTCTAGATTTAAACTTAAATATTCCTTCCCTAAAAACACGGAGATTATTAATGACACGGAAATAATTGAAAAAAAATGTTTCTTTGTATATAACCTGCTCAACGTTTGTAAATATGGTTACAAAATATGACAATAATTCAAGCAACCAACTGATAATTAAGTTATAGCTACATTGGCGTAATTATAAAATCGGTATTTCTTTGCATTCCTTATTTGTTAGAAAAAGCCAGTTGGGAACCTCATCAAAATCCACTAGGGTACGGACCCTGAATGTTATAGTTAAGGAAATTGTAATTCAGAAAACCTTAAGAAACAATGAGTATTGGAATTTTCTAGAGAGTAAGAAGTTGGAGTACTTGCCGTTGACTTTTGTTTCTTATTAAAAAATGAGTGTATAGGAGTTTCAAAGGAACAAAAAAGGTAAGCCTTTATGCGTTGCTTTAGAGCATATTATTACCATTTTTTGATAGTCTAGGCACAAGGGCGGACGGCCTTGGAATCTTCTTGGCATTCTAACGACATTGATAAATACATAAGAATAAGTACCTTGCGTAAGCAGGGACCGCGGAAGGAAGGGGGAGCTACGGGGGCTTTAGCCTACCCAATAATATTCCAAAATGTAGTTAAAGTCATACCACAAATCCTCCTGCTCTGAGTTTTAAGAATGTCTAGCCCCCCTCCAACAAAAAATGTTTTAGCCCCCTCAATCTATAATATGATCCGCGGTCCTTGTGCGTACGTACACCTCTAGAGCAGAGCGGCCTAGGGCCCAAGCGACGAAAGTTAAGGTTCTTGTTCCGGTGCGTTTACACGCAGAGATCTGGTACTGAATTCTAGCAGTTTCTCATCAACTGTCAACTGACCAATCCAGTTATAAGTACTGATTAATTTAAAGACGTTATACTTACGATTGCTAACAGTAGCCATGGTTGTCATGTCACTTTAACTGCCTGACGTACCCTGGCAATTACCCCCATAACTTTTAATGTACCGCTTTTAAGATAACTATTCCCCCATAAAAATCCAACTTCATCGTCAGTTTCACAGCAATCTTTTTCTGTTTACTGCATAATACTTTCTATAAATTACATCGACGTTAAATAGAAAAACAGCGCCCACTTTCTCTCTGACAGGACAACCTATAGAAAAAGAAAAAAACATAAATAAACTTTTTGGTATAAATATATCATATGGGACGCAAACACATCAACAGATATAGCAGTGATGTCACGAACATTTAAAACTTGGACATTGTGTTTGCCTCATACTTTTGCTTATAAAGCACTCAAAAACTAAAGAGCTGTGAAAATAGTGAAGCAGAATTTAAAACAGAAAGATCTGAACAGTGTAGCAATTTGCAGCTACTGGTTTTCTATTTGTCCCTGGTAAACGCTAGTGAGCAAAGATTGTTAGCCACCAAAAGACTGCAAATGTTTCATGGGCAGCATGGAATCCAACATAGAAAGAGGAGCCCTGTATATGTAAATGCAGGATTCAGAAGTGAAGGAAAACCGATAAGTAGCATTGTAACATTTAAATTTCCAAAACCAATTTAGAAATAGCAATGTTTAATTCCACCTTATGCTTTCAACCCAGTCTTTTTTCTCCAGCTCGCTGTCGGCTTTAAGCTGATACAGAACTCCCTTTTTCGTCTCAATGTCAAATTGGTGACGATAGCCTAAGGTAGAGAAACATTTTTTATAAGACAAAAAAGTAAATAATAGCATAATATAGAACTGAATTTTATTTTTATTTTAACTACATACAGATGTGAAAAATTATCGGTTCGACAATTTTTCTATATAATTTTAAACAATTTTTATAAAGTTATAATTATATAATCATGATTTAGAGAACCAAAAAACGATTGGCAGCTGCCTCAGTCATCAGCTTCACAAATTTGGGTTGAATTAAAAAATATGTCATTTTTAGAAATGGAGTTGATTTGCAGTGCAATAAATAAACCGTTATTAATCATGCGAATTTCTAGTCAATATCTAGCAGTAATTCAAGGCAAAATACCGATTTTTGTTCGTATTAAAAGAAATTCAGAAAAGGTAGTTGCCTGATGCTCGTATTAAGCGTGCATCAATACGAGCATCAGGCAACTACCTTTTCTGCATTTCTTTTCTGAAACTTTGAATTGGAGCTTAAAATTGTTCACTAAGAAATCAATTAAATCTAAGCTAATTTTCATATTTTTAACGCGTAATTGACACGAAGATTTTAACATACAAAAAAGGAAAGAGCTCTCCCATTTTGCCAACTATGCAAAAAGCTTTCCCATTCTTTAATAATTGACATTATTAAGTTTGACATTACTTTAAATGGTTCACCATTGCTTGTTAACTTGACGAAACAGGGGAAAAATAAATACAATATTTGATTGAAAGAGCTTCGAAGAAAACATGCTTGCAAACACAACCCTTTTCTATCCAGATGTGTGCATGTTCTGTGTTGGTGATTGAAATAAGATATTACATTAAGGGGTTATTTCTAGAAATATCCCGATCTATTAAGATGTCTGACATGTATACAAACCCTTCAATGATGCTGCTTTCATGCAACCACCCTGGATGCACTGTGCATCTTTTTCTAGCTTTTCATTAACGTTATCAAAGAGTTTACTGCCATCAAGTGAAATTCGGCCTTGAGGAGTTTTTGGCTGAAAACAGAACAAAGTCATTGAAATAAAAAACAATGAAACTAAACATACGAAAAAAAGAAATATATTTTTTGCGTGTTTGTTGGGCCTCTTATTCTTTCAGTGAAAGCTTCTGCTTTATTTGAGACCACAACCCTTCCCTTTTGGGGTGCTCTGAAGGATTGAATGGTTGGTGGCGTGTACCTGGCTTCTTTGGCCGTATTCTGATGACGGCATTTCATCAGTAAAACCATTTATGGAAATAGAAAAGATAAGATATATCATAAAGAGAACAGGTTTGCGAAATAAACTGTGAAAAAATGTGAGCAAGTGACTCGCTGGGACAGGGCTGCAAACCGTGACCAGCAATTCTGTACCCCATTGATTTGCCAACTGACTACCCGGTCACATTTGCAAATGCAAGGCCAAAGCCCTGTCACTCACATTTATACCCTGGGACCAGGTCTGGTACCCAGGGTATCACATTTATAAGATATACCAAAACGCGGGAGCTGAATAGTCTGTTCTTACTATACTGATAAAATTATCAAACATACTGCTGGTTTTCATTCAAACAGTAGAGCTTATAGATATGATAATTGCTGTTGTCAACCAATCATGTGATACTATATATGTTATCCACTTGAAGTGCCGCCCCTGACTTTCATGCGATAAACATTAAAGGTATCGGCGATTAGGCCAGTTCAAAATTACCACTATAAACGAAATTTCCATAATACACCATAATACAAAGGGATTGTAGTCTTTTGCCGTGAGATAGATCTATCAACCGGTTGCTAGGTCAAAAAATAAACAAACAAAAGAAGTGACAAAATTTCTCACTTGGAAGGCGATTTAATGTTGCGAATTGATAACTATGGTTCAAATTTTGTTTCATATCTTCATTACTAACTTGCCCATTTCTAAGGTTGTCATGCAAATTGAATATAGAATTAAAACTGTCAAACAGAATTGTGAGTCAAAAGGCTTTTGGGTTTCTAAAACCTCCAACAATCCACATAATATAAAGTTTTGCATTTGGAAAAGTTGTAAATCCAACGATAAACGCACAAAATGACAAAAAATGACATGAGCAATTCGTATTCTAATATAGCATAATTTAAAAGAGCATAACAACACTAGGTGACTTAAATGGTGCAAAAAGACCCAGGTCATTCTCAAGCTCACATTACGTATGCAAGGTATTTAATTTTAACTTGTCTAATTGACACTGAGTCGTGACCGAAATTCCAGTTTATGACTGCAACAGGACTGGGACATTTTCGGTCAAAATACGGACATAGTTCCACAAAACTCCGATGCTGAACTTGACTTAGTCCAAAAGAATGTGGTGCAAAAGTCGCGATTCTTGTGAACCAACAAATTCGGTGGACCTGTGCACATTTGCACCGTGTTTTTCTTTATTATATATAAAGCGGCAGGAATGGACCCAAACGAATACAGATCGAATTTAAGATGCAAAAGATCTTATTTAGGGTTTCAATTTTATAAGATTATTTCATCCAAACCGGTACAAATTGCAATACACAGCTATTCATGTTTCAATGAAAAAGCGCTCTTCTGCAAACGTTTCGTCATTCCAACCCCTGATAGTAGGCCTGCGCTCACTATTCACATGGCCCAAAAGTCCAAAAGAGAAAACCAACTACATTCTGTCCAAATTAATGCAGTATCAATTACAAAAATCTCCCTTTTTTGCATTCGTATTTAGTTTTAGGCAGGGGGCTGAACTGGGGCATAAAATTCACTTGAACCCGTGATTTTAAATGAACCCAATCTAGTCTAGCCCGAATCCCTTGTTGGGAACGTGCACTCAACAGTTGCATGTTTCGCAGTGAACAAGTCGATAGAATCTCAAAACAACAGGTTATGGGCCCAGAACCAAACCACTGCACATGGCTGGAATTGGAGATAAATTCGAAATCGAAAAATTAGATAGGTCGAACTGGCCTACATGGAAGTTTCAAATGAAACATTTGTTGATGGCGAAAGATGTCTGGGATCACGTAGATGGAACGATTTCGTTACCTGACGATAATACAGCATCTAGAGCTACATACGAAAAGGCCAAGCAAAAGGCAATGGCGACGTTGGTAATGGGAATTCAGTCGAATCTCATCTACTTGGTGACATCATGCGAAACACCGAAGGACCTGTGGGATACTCTCAAAGCCTATTTCGAGAGGGATACGATAGCCAACAAGCTGTTTCTCAAGAGACAATATTTTACTTCAAAAATGCTTGAAGGGCAATCGGTCCAAGATCATTTGAAACGTATGAAGGAAATTGCTGATAAACTCCATGCACTCGGGTCTACAGTAGCTGAAGAAGAGCAAGTCGTGGCATTGCTCATAAGCCTTCCACCAAGCTATACAACACTCGTTACAGCTCTGGAAGCTAAAGGAGATGAACTATCACTGGCCTTCGTCCAGCAAGCCCTTATCAATGAAGAGCAGAAAAAACAGGCCTTCAAAGCAACCGCAACGACTAAAATTAATCGAGACTCAGCATTACATTTGGAAAAGGGCATCAGCAGGCCTTTCAAAGGCAAATGTTACAACTGTGGCAAGGAGGGTCATAAAAGCTTTGAATGTCACAAAAGGAAGCAAGTGAGGCCCAGCAATTCATTTAAAAATGAAACACATAATGCAAAGACTGCAGGAAAGGAGGAAGATGATGACTCAGACTCTCAACTCTTTCTAGCTGAAAATGAACAAACAGAAAATGAGACAAACAGACAATGGATTCTGGATTCGGGTGCCTCGCAGCATATGACCTCAAACAAACTGCTTTTGATTAACTACATAGAGTTCAACCAGCCTGAATTAGTCAAACTGGGTGACGGACATACAGTGGAAGCCCGTGGATCAGGACGAGCTCAAATAACCATGGAAACAAGCCACAACAAGCAGCTGACAATTGAAATGGATAATGTACTCTACGTTCCGAAATTAGCTTGCAACCTGTTCAGTGTGCGAGCTGTGACACAGAAGGGACTCATTGTTCAGTTTGGACATACTTGTTGCTGGATAAAAGACTCGGACGGTAAGGCTGTAGGCAAAGGAAGACTCGTTAAGCGAATGTACTTTCTGAGCTGCGAAACAGATATAACAGCAGCTTATCACCAATCTGAAAGGATGGAAAATAGCAACCCTAGCACGATGGATATTTGGCATCAACGGCTAGGACATATAAATAGAAAACAGCTATTGGAATCAGTCAAGAAGAAGCTCATCAAAGGAGTTGCCATCCAAGGAAATGACGAACTGAACTTTTGCACAGGGTGTGCGGAAAGTAAGATGAGCAGAAAACCTTTCAAGTCAACAGAGGGGATCAAGACTTCTAGAAAATTACAGATAGTTCACAGCGACGTATGTGGACCAATGTCAATACAGAGCTTTTCAGGAAAGCGTTATTTTGTCACATTCATTGATGACTACTCGAGGTGTGTCAAAGTCTACTTCATTAGAAAGAAGTCTGAGGTACTAAAGAGGTTTAAAGAATTTGAAGCCTCTGCAACCAATGAAGCTGCATGTAAAATTGGAACCTTGCGTACAGATAATGGCGGAGAGTATGTATCAAATGACTTTGAAAATCTTCTGAAAAGGAAAGGTATCAAACACAAAACTTCTGTTCCTCACTCTCCACAACAGAATGGAGTGGCTGAGCGCATGAACCGGACTCTCGTTGAATCCGCAAAAGCAATGATGAACCATGCCGGTCTCAGCAAGACCTTCTGGGCAGAAGCAGTCAACACTGCAGCCTACATAAGGAATCGTGTTATAACCAGCGCATCAGGTCAAACACCGTATGAAAAATGGTATGGAAAACCCCCTGATGTCTCCCACTTTCGTGTGTTCGGCTGCATAGCTTATGCTCATATTCCAGAGGCTGAGCGAAGAAAGTTGGACAAGAAAGCCAACAGACTTCGATTCTTGGGCTACAGTGCAAACCAGAAAGGATACCGACTTTTTGATATGCAGAGCAAGAGAATAGTGATTCGAAGAGACGTTAACTTCAATGAAAATGATTTTGGATCTCAAAAACAGTATTTGAAGATGGGTCCAGAACCAGCAAAGGAAGATAAACGACAAACAGAGCCTACGGAAAGGAACACGGATGCAGAAGAAAGCCATCCTCGACGATCTCAAAGATCCACAAAAGGGGTACCACCACCTCGATTTGGCTTGGATGAGTATGCTGACGTCACAGAAGCAAGACATGTTGTATTCTCAGCAACCATCGAAGAACCAGCTACCATCCAAGAAGCCCTCAATAGTGAATATTCCGCACAGTGGAAAGAAGCAACGGATTCAGAGTATCAGTCACTCATAGAGAACCAAACGTGGGAGTTAGTGAAGCCACCAAAAGACCGAAAGGCTATCGGGTGCAAATGGGTCTTCAAAGTAAAGTATGACGAAAATGGACAAGTGGAACGTTTCAAAAGTCGTTTAGTAGCAAAAGGGTATTCTCAGAAGTACGGCGTCGATTTTGATGAAACCTTTTCTCCTGTCGTGCGGTTCAGTTCTATTCGAGCCTTACTGGCTTTTGCAGTTCAAAACCGAATGCTGATTCATCAAATGGATGTAACTACGGCATTTCTGAACGGAGATTTAACGGAAGAAATCTATATGGAGCAACCAGAGGGTTACGTGATACGTGGAAAAGAGAATCTGGTTTGCAGGCTCAAAAAATCCCTCTATGGACTCAAGCAATCACCACGTTGCTGGAATCGAAAATTTAGAAACGCGCTCGAATCACTAAATTTCAGACAAGGCCAAGCAGATCCGTGTATCTTCGTGAAGGATCTCTTGAAAGAAACAATTTGACAATTATTGCTGTTTACGTAGATGATTTAATCATCATATCCACTACTCAAGATGAAATGAAACAAATGAAAGTAAACCTGAGAAAGAATTTCAAGATGAAAGATTTGGGCAGCCTTCATTTCTGCCTTGGAGTCAGCGTTGAGCAAAGCGAAGAAGGAGTCAGTCTATCACAGAAGCAGTACATTGAAAAATTACTGAAGCGCTATGGACTTCAAGATGCTAATCCAGTGTGTACACCTCTTGATCCAAATGTCAAACTTGTAGCAGATGATGGAAACAGTAAACCTGTTGATAACGTTCAATATCAGTCTATGATAGGGAGTTTACTCTATGCTGCCATCGCAACAAGGCCTGATATCGCTCAAGCAGTGGGAGCTCTTTCTCAATTCAATTCAGCACCAACAGAAGCGCATCTTACTGCTGTAAAACGGGTATTTCGATATCTGAAAGGAACAATCAATCTTTCGCTGGTTTACAAGAAATCAGAAAGCAAAGAAGTTACGGGATTTAGTGATGCTAGTTGGGCTGACGATATGCAGAATCGCCACTCAACCACTGGAAATGTCTTCATGATGGCAGGAGGTGCGATTAGCTGGCTTAGTCAAAAACAATCAACAGTGGCTCTTTCAACCGCTGAGGCAGAGTACATTGCCTTGAGTAAAGCTGCCCAAGAGGTCGTATGGCTGAAGCAACTGTTTAGAGAAATAGGAGACAATGTGCAACCTATAACCATCATGGAAGACAACCAAGGAGCGATTTCGATGACAAAAAATCCAGTCGGACATAAACGGACGAAACACATCGACATAAGGTATCATTTTGTTCGAGAACAAGTAGAGAAAGGGACTCTGCTACTAAAATATTGCAACACGAAAGAAATGCTGGCTGACTTACTTACTAAATCACTGAACAGAGGTCAATTTGAGTACCTACGCTGCAAGCTCGGAATGCAATAAAACCTGAAAAGAAACTGTTGATTGAGTGGGAGTGTTGGGAACGTGCACTCAACAGTTGCATGTTTCGCAGTGAACAAGTCGATAGAATCTCAAAACAACATCCCTTCCGTATCAACTATTGAATCAAATATATCTTATAGTTTGACATTTTAATTCACCCTTGAAATTCAATATTATCCACATAGTAAAAATTAATACCAGCCTCATACATCATACCAACCTTTGATGGTTTGAAATACATCATACCAAGTGGATTTTCGCTTAAGATAAAGTTTCGGATTTTCCAGTTGTGTCTCAAATGACCCTTAAAGAAAAAACGTAAAATTGTTTCTAAAAGACTGACATACTCACTGTAAAATGCAACAATATTTGTTTGCACAGTGGGCTTTGAAACAAGAAATGTTTGCACATTTCTTCTAATTTTGCAGCAATGACAACGAGAAAATGCCTCTACAAATTCGCTTATACAAAAGTACATTTATTGGTCTTTTTCGTGAAATAGAGGTTCGGGATGGAATAATAGAAAAATTTCAAGGTTTGCTTTGAAGGCAAAACAAACTTCTTTAAAGATTAAGCAAATCTAGAAGCTTTACCTCATTTCATGCAAAGCAAGTCAAACTATCAGGCTCGTGTCAAAACTCTTTTTCTCTTGACACTTGTGTGTCAAAACTCTTTTTACAGTCGATTAACTATTAAATTGATAAAATGTAAGGAGTTTAAAAATAGTTAAAAAAAACAAGTACCTTTTTCAAGAGAAAACCTTCTTTGACAATGTATCCGATGTCACTCTCAGAAAGCTATAGAAATATGTATTGTCAAACTTGATGTCTGAGCAGAACGTATTAACCAAAATAACGTTATTCTCTGTGGCGAATTACCACACAAATAATTTCATCTTACCTTATATCCTTCACAAATCATTTGAAAATCAAAGAAGTCTGTCTTTAACGTGCCTAATGCCGTTTGAAGCGCATCTGCGTCACATTCAAGAAAAAACGATGACACAATATTAATTGGTTTATATAGTGGTCCTAACTGACTATAACAGATCTTCCTGCACTACGTAATACACATTCATCTTCTTTTTGCCATGACTTGTCTTATTACCTGGATATCATTTACAAGGATAAAAGCAAAAGAACATATAATCACTCTTTACCGAATCAGTGGTCGACGATTCTTCCTCTGAATCACTCGAGTCATCTTCGAAAATCATATCCAAACTGTCATCACCCTTTGTAAGGGCAGACTGTAAACAAAATGTAAAATTTTGCAATGCTAAAATCACTCTATAAAGATATGATAATTCATAGGTAAAAGTTGATAAGCAGAACACAAGAAGAGGTAGTCAGATAACTAAATTGGAACTGGGTAGTCAGCTTCTGTGTTTTCTGATGAAATAAGGATAAGTTATAAGGATAAGCAATTTGAAGTTATATTGCAGACCACAGTGCGGTTTCAGTGAAGGCTTATAGAATGAATACAGGATTTGCCTGAGCTTAGATAGATGATGAAATCACATACAAATCGATAGAGTGCTTGAACATCATCACAGAACTTCCTTCTGGCATCTTTTCGTTTCACTGATGTTCTGCTCAAAGGTCCAACTGGATGCAGATGAGCTTTCTCTAACAATTCCCCGCAGGCTATGGCTCCTTCTGATCGTGTTTTCACAAAATCCCAGTGCAGCAGCCAATCAATGACGTCTTTGCCTGCAAGGAGACCTTTCTACTTGTTTATGATATATCTTATAAAAAGACCAAATCTACTAATTACTTTTTACGAATAACTAATTACGTACAGGCAGCTCCTCTCATGGTTGATAAGAAGTCGATGAGAATTAAAAGGTTGGGCGCGTCTTGACGGGGGCTTTAGTCTAGTTCTTTTCAGACGTTGCTATACATGGTCATGCAAAGATATGTGCATTGACTGGCATACAATTAATACAGTATTATAATTCGTACACTTCCATGTTTCTTTATTTCTACTGATCAAAAGAACTTAAACTAACAGAAAATCCTACAGCTCCCTACGATTCTTAAGGGACATATTCTTTGCAATGAGATCATCTTTAGAAACAATGCTTGGCATGCTCCTGAGAAAAAACTGCCCTAACAATCTGCAAGAATCACTTTGAAATAAGGTGGTTAATATAAACTGCATGTTCTTCAAACTTGCCAGCGAAATTCTTCACAAAATTAGCGTTTTGATTATCTCCAAAAGGCGTTTCTTTATGTCAATTAAATTTATTTTTCATTTTCCGATTCTTACTTACTATACATCTTTGAACCAAATTTTGTCAGTTGAAAATACGTTAATAGACATTTGGACTAGGTTTTGAAGAGGATGCAACAAAAACTAGTTTAATAAGGATCAAATCCTTACTTTACCTGTAAAACAGAGTTTATACATAAACTGGTCGATTTCAAAACTTTGCAAAGGGACCCCTGCCTCACTGTCTTGCATTGCATCAAGCAGTTCCCTAAAAATCAAACTTATCAATAAGTTTTTACACAAAAAATACACATTTCCAATTCTGTTGAAAACAACAATTTTATATCCAGCCAGAATGAACTATTAAATTGTTGCCAGTTAAGACGTGTTGTGAGATTGAGATTTGCAATATCAAGGACTCAGTGTCCAACCTATCAAAAGACATCTAAATCTACAGTAAATCAATAAACTTAATCAAATGTTTCTTTTACACTTAATGTTTTACTCTTCCAACAATCAACATTTTCAAGCAAACTTTAATAATTGTAAGCCTTTCTAAGGACACCTGCACATCAGCTGCTTCAATCATTAGCCTTTGCTTGCTCATCTCTATATTTATAGAAAGGAATTATGAAGATGAAAAAGTGACAACTTTTGTTCAACCAAACAAATTAGTTCTGATAAAACATTTCAATTACTAACGAATATGTCACTTTGCTTTCAAATATACTTTGGGCATCTGATATTTCTTCATCGAGTAAATGTTTTTCTGTACATTCTGCTTCTCCCTGTCAATGAAAAAAATCTGAGATGAAAAAATCAACCCACATTCTGTAACTGACTTATGACTTCTAAAGATTATTCTTCCTTATTGATACAAAGCATAAAATACAACACCAATTACATTTACTGTACTTCACAGCCTATAAGATCTAATGATAAATTCTTTTACTGTTACCTAAGAAAAAAGCTGTTACCATCTCTTACAATGTATAAAATGCACCTGTATTTCTCAGTACTTGCAAAATATGTATACTTAAATGAAAAATTAAAGAAACTCAAGAACACTTAATAGAAACAAACTCTGTGGACAGTGGCGGCTCCAGCCTGGGTTAAATGGAGGGGGGGGACAAAAGGTGTGTCAGGGACCATGCCCTTTTTCATGTTTGAAAGATTTTCTTCCAGTTGTGTTTATCTTTGAAAAATAAAAGGGGTTGCCTTTAAGGTGACATACAAATAAAAGGTACCTTTTCTGATTCAGTTATCATTTCTAGGTTTCTGATCACTTCTGCTATTGCTTTTGTCCATTCATCCTGGATTTGTTTATCTCCACATTGTATAAGAAACTCCCTTCCATTGTGCTCAATAAGTCTGACCACGCACTAAAACGAAAAGTCTTAGCATAATAGAAAAACCACATAAACACAAATTCCCTTTTTATGATAAATAAGTCATACAAAATAGCTAAAATATACCAATCATAAAAGTTAAAAGAGCCTAAATATCACTGTGACTTAAAATATGTTTATAGAAAAATTTTTCTCAAAAAGTGTTCAAATTCAAATGCTCTCCAGCTTTGTGCCAATTTCTACAAATTTTGACCTAACAGTAAAACAGTTATTTGACCATTGCAATCTTTATGATACTGAGACCAACTAATCAAACAACCTTGTTCTTCAGCTTTTCTTTTAAGCCATAATGGCCCAGGTAACATAGAAGTAAATGAATACAGGATTCAAATGATCATAACAAAATTCATACAGAAATTCACTGGAAAAGTAAAGGGGGGGTCTTTAAAACCCCTTCCTCCCTCAAAAGCGGATATTGCAACATGACCGAAAGTACAAAAGTGAGACATAAATTTATTCTATACATAGTAACATAGTTCAATGATCTGATCAAAATTTCAATTTCTATTGCAAAAAAGGAGCAATGTTAAATGGCTGAAAATTAAATGAATGATACTAACATCCTTTTTGGTGTATTCAGGGCAAGGAGAAATAATGCAGCATCCTCTTAAATTGATATCACCTTTTAGAGATGTATCCTAGATGGCAAAAATAAAATTGAAATAATGTAGGATAAATAGTGTAAAGTATAGGGTAAAGCTAGAATTGCTTCAAAAAGGGAAGCAAGTATATTGTGGCACTAGACATAATTTAAACCAGCACATGAAAACAATTATTCTGTGTTTTCAATGGTCATACAGAAGAACACCAAAATACTGGTGAAAAAAACAGCATAATTGACAACAACCACTATACAGTTAACTCTGCTTAAAGTCACTTGCTTAAAGTCACATGTTTACAGTCACAGAAAATTAAGAACCTTGTATGTAACACTATTCAATTTAACCCTGCTATCAGTCCGTTTGCTTACTGACATAGCTTAAATTCTAGGGCCTACCCCTTCCCTAAAGGAAGTCACAAACATCTCCCTAAAGCATACATGTAAGCTTGTCTGAAGAAGTTTTGAACAGTAAAAGTATTAGCTATGTTTCTCTGAGAACAAGTTAACCTTGTGCTACTAACTATGTTTCCATTGTAGGCTTGTCAAAAGGTGATAAAGTATACCTTTTTAGATTTGTAGTAATATAAACCATCTTCTGAAAGAACAAACCATCTTGATTTCCAGTTGTGGCGTTTATGTCCCTGTAAATATAGGAACAATTTTTAAGACGTAACCAAAATCAAATTTAACAGCAGTAAGGTAAAGAGATGCAGGATAATTTGAAACAGATAATTTCCAACATGTCTGAGGCCTGATTTTGGATACTAATTAGAATTTCCATGTTTCCTTGGTATGAATTATCTATTCTCCTTCCCGTCTTTCATTGACCCTCATAATCTATGTGGTAAATTTTGAATTGTATTAATGGAAAGATTAACATTATTAATAACAACTCCCTTGAGTTTTTAATGTTCAGGATAAATCTTTTGTTTTAAAAGTTGATGCTTCTAAAAAATTGATACGTTTGTTTTCATTTGATCGTCGCCATCATTTTCAAATAGGTGAAGAATACTACTGTAAAAAGAATATTTTGGAGTACAACTAAAAAAGGAAAACACGTTGTTTGGACTTGGACACAACATAAAGAAGAAATCAAAATGATAGATGACGATTTATAGATAACGACAATAAAATTTCGTTAAACCCTTACCTTCTTTACTAGAACTCCCTCCTTGATTATTCTATTACTTTTTGGTGGTATGTCGTCCATTTCAATTTGGGGGGCGTGAACGTAGAAAGATCATTGATCAAGGCAGAGTATGGAATGTTCGTCCTAAAACCAAACCCATTTTTGCTTGGCTAGCTACGTTAAGTTTCCTGTCTTAGCTAAACTCATCAGCTCAAATTTCAAGCATTTTAGAGTACCCTTACCGGCGACTATACCAACACTGCAAAGCAAACAGCATTGATAATCTCTTCCTGGTTTCGCTGCCTCCTAATGGTTTGGGAGGCTAATCTAAAACGAGGATGTATTTACAAGAAAATCAGAAAAAAATCAGTGAAAAATCACGAAAAATTATAGTTTAAGTTATACTCTACTTAAGTGTTACAGTTTTCCTACTGCTTCGTAGAAGTATTCCAGAAATAATTGGAAATGTATGTATCTTATGGGGGTACCAGGTATTTTGGCGGGATTGCGTGATGGGCGTTTTTTTATTCGTGAATTCGTGAAACACATTTTTTGTTATACGTGAATGGGTGGATAGACAATGGCGCGTGACCTGTGAATCCTCGTGACGTGATTGCATGAAAATGAGTGCTGCAAGCAAATTTCAAAATGGAGTGCTTTCGTTTTTACAAGGAGAATGTCTTAGTTTCCGGCACCAGATCAGATGTCTCAATAATTCAGAGATTCCACTGCCAATTGCTCTGCCAACAGGAAATTACTACTATTAGATAGTTATAAAATAATCAAAGAACTTCTAGAGGGCGTGATCGTGAAATTGAATTTCCAGTACCGTAAAAGCGTGATTGGCAATTATTTTAAGCGTGATTCGTGATTCAGCATAAACACCTGGTGCCTCTCTTATCTACTGTTCTACTGTAGACGATTCTTTACAGAAAATACTTGATGATTTACTTATATTTTCAAACATGAAATATTTTTGAAACACGGAAACTGAAGTATAGGACCATGACTGTTAATATTTATGACATCATAATTTTTAGGGTCGTATACCCTGGGTACCAGAGCCACATAAATTCGTAGGTTCCTCCACTTCTCCGCGTGGCTCTCTATTTAAGCCCTTGACATTTTGTGGCCCTGGTACCCAGGGTAGGGCTCGTAAAGGAACAATGGGTATTGACAAAATGAAAGCTATAATGAAAATACTAAAGAGTGCTTAAAGTTGATCTTTCTTTCTAATAAAAATAGTTGTATCTTAGACGGTCTTAATGCGATACTGTTTTTGTCAGAGTGTACAACTCATCGTTCGAAGAGATGTCTTTTTAAACCAAGGAAATAACCAAGATCAAACGACAGAAAAGACCTACAACAAGGGCTGTAAGTAAGGTTAAAAAAACAAGAGACCTTCATGAATAAATAATAATTAGGAATGTATTAATAACTATTATAATAAATATTTATTAATAAATTATTAATAAATAATAATTTAAAATAATAAATAATATTAAATAATAAATATGTGAAATATTAATTAGGACTTGAAATACGACTTGAAATAGCTGACCTATTTTTACCACATTCAACTCTTCTGCTCTATTGGAAGCCAAGATATGAATGAAGGGGGCCAATTGACCGATAAACATTTTGTTTTGACCTGCCTGTTTCTTTGAAAAGCAAAAAATGGCAATTCTCATTTCCTGTAGAAGGTTAAAAATATATCATTTGACAGGATTCCGTGCATTGCTTTTTTGTAGGAAGGATAAAGATTACCAATATGGCTGACCTGCATCTCGAAAACAACAATATGAAAAAAATGACATGGTCTGAATCGATTTGCTTTTTCTACTTGTGAAAATATAGAGTCTGAAATATTTTCGGAATGTGTTGCTTTATGAAGTTCAATATTTCTTTCCCGAATTTTCCTTCGCGACAATATTTGTTAAGTGAGTTTTTTTTCGTACTTTTTCTTTCACTATGTCAAATTGAAACTCGTTTTGCAATTCAGGCAGAAGACCACGATCCCCTAAAGCGGCATAAATCAGTGCAAGACACAAGCGTTCGAAGCTTAAATCCAACTGAGAGAACTTGACTTAAGGTTACGGTAAACGTTACCTGGATGAAAATATCAATTTTTCGAGTTTTTCACATTCAAGTAGCCGAACATTCAAGGCACACAATGATACCAAGTTTGAAACCAACAGAAATTTTGCAAATGGAAAAATCCCATGTAAACGAAGGTTCCCGTCATTTCTTTATCAAAACTTCTAGTTGAGGTCTGAAAATCTCTTGACCTGTTAAGCCGATCATCGTTGCTTTGCGGTTGTGGTCGCATGTCTCATTTACAATAATGGCATAACCATGCATCCCATGTATGGCTGTGTTTGCTTAAACAGGCTTATTGATCTTAAAGCTTCAAGTGACTTGACCCAGATTACACTGTGGTTTATGAATGTATCTTGCAAGTGCGATCAGTAAAATCCTGTTTTCTACGGACTTACAATTCCTCTAGATACAGGTACGAAAGAGCTATTTTGTTCCCAAGGAACCAATCGAATGGCTAAAAAAATTGCACACGGCCAGGGCAGATGTCGGGTAAGCAAAGTGTGTCTCAAAACTTTTGTATTTGCTCTGGTCCGTCTTTGATAGACAAATAAAGCTATGAGAGGGAAGCAAAGTTGTTTGCCAATTTTTGACAGGGTATAGTTTTAAGGGGAGGAGGAATTTAAAAAATCTGAGACAGTTTTGGTAGCTAAGGATCTGCGCTTTCTGCTGATGTAAGTCTATTTTTTAACCGCAAAAACAAAGGTACAAAATAGCTTTTTAAGGTGGTACACTCATTTAAGCAATAAATTTGACTGGAAACTATCATTTTATAGTATTTGCCAATTACTCTTACATTGTTGGAATCACCACGTTCTTGTGCATCGAATGATGTATAGGTTATGTAATCTGATTCCATTAATAATTTTTCTTTTAGGGAGAGAAAACCAAATATCGTGTCAGAAACGTTTACCGTAACCTTAATGGGGTCAGGGACGTCACTTCACTAATTTTTTGGGGGGGTGTAAACACTATTGCCCTGCAAAATTTTTCCTGTAAAACAAGTATAGATGTACTGTACTTATGCATATATTACATAAGTACATATATTATTTTCAAAAAGCAACACAAACCAACAATCGCAATAAAAAAAGTCAATAATTAGTCTACTTTCACACTAATTTACTTAATTGAAATTCTTCTCATTTTTTTTCATGCCATTCCTTTAATACTTTATCAAGTGGAATAGTGTCTGTTAGGTCTTTCTCACAAGCAAGTAGAATGAGATCATTCAATCGTTCATCTTTCATCCTTGATCGCAGCAAATTTTTAACAATCTTAAGTTTGCTAAAGGTTCGCTCGTCTTTAGCCACAGACACAGGTGCTGTAAGAAGAAGGCTGTAGCATTTGTAAACCGTTGGGAAAAGTCGTCTGTTTTCATATGAAAATTTGGCAGCCTCTTTGACGGAAGTTGGCTGGATCTGTTGCTGTTCAATCATTGACTTAAAAACATCTAGCTCACATAATATAACCCCTTCTTCAATATGAAAGCCTGGTGGGAAAAGCTTTCAAAGATCGTGGACTGTTTCTGGGTTTATCGTTTTGAGTGGTGGCTGCAACGCCATTGCCAATGGCTCAATTTTTTTTAAGCATGCCTTGATATTTTCACCATACTCTGCTATCAGAGAATCGAGAACAACACACATTTCTGTTCTGTAGAAGGAATTAAATTTAAATTCCGCTGATGTTTCTGGACCGTTGTCAATCTTTCTTGGCTGCAACCTGAGTCGATATTTCCACTAAACTCAGCCGCTGAATCTATTCAATGCTGTTTAGCGCACTCGTTTAGAGCATCCAACTCTTCATCCATAGCCTTGTTATCAATGCGAATCTTCTTAAGATTTTCTACTGTTGCTTCAATTAACTTCATCGCATCTAGGATGTTAAGCTCTTCTGCTTGGAGTTGCATCGTCAAAATCTTTGTTTTCTTCATAATTAATCTCATGAAAATCAATGCAAAAAGAAAGTCAAGTCACTTTTACCCTTCATTTCTGTGCTGTCGTCACTGACAACTTTTTCAATTGCTTTGAGTATGCTTTGTAAACTTCGCCACACTGCTTCTATCGACTCTGAAGAGTAGACCCATATAGTTTTAGACATGTTGCGGAGTTTCAAGAAGTACTCATCAACTTCTTGAACTTCTTTATTGTAAATGTTGTTTCATTTGGAGCTGGCACTGAAGAAAACATATATATCTTGAAGATTATCGTATATCGACGTAATTATGGCATTTTGTTTTGCATAATGCTCTTTGAAAGTATTAGATCGATGCCCTTGACATGGAATTTTCCGGGACTGGTCTTTCAAGAATATCTTGTAGAACCCTCTGTGCCCCTGCAATTCTCCCAGACATATTATTTTCGAAATCGTATGTTTGGAAGCAGAGATAATTCACATTAATTTCATTTGCTTCCAGACACTTGAGAATACATTCTGCTGTCTTATCTCCATGTTTGTCATTGCACTCTTTCATTTCCACGACTCTCTCGCGCGCAATTCCATTTTCACCAATATATCTTGCAGCCACAACCATTTGATCCTTATTGCTAACATCGGGTGTTGTATCGGCCGAAACCGACAACATTTTAGCACACTCAATCTCATATTTTATTCTTTCTCTAACATTCTCCCCCCCAGATCTCTAAAAGTTCATTTTGTGAACTAGAATCATGTATTTCGTACTGAAAGGCTTCAATCGTTTGCTATCATGCCATTCTTTCATCTGTAGACAGTGCCTGGACAGAAGATTCACAAACTGGACAAAATTGCCGTTCGTTCTGGTCTCCTGCGGAGCCTCTGAAAGCAATTCCTTGCCTTGCCAATGTTCTAGCAATATCAAACAAAATGTTCATTATCGATTTGCATTTTTCTTCGTCAGCCTTCTCCTGAATGATGAAGTCCTTCAGATGCCTATTCATTTGAATGTCAATATGTCCTTCTTCGACTGAAAACCTAGCAAAATCAGCCAATGCTGCTTGGTGTGCTTCAGAAGAAAAATGCTGAGCAAGCTTGCCACTTTTCATTTTATGCCATGATGCGATACCGTTTATCCAAGCAGTGTCACTTTTTCTTCGCAAGGGGCACGGAAATAAGAAACTCACTTTACAATACCACAACAAATCGGAAAAACTAACATATGTTTTGGATTTGATAAGAAAGTAAAATGAATTAAGATATTTTGTGAAACTTGATTTCTAATCTCTTTTGCCCTGCGAGAACTACTAATTCCTTCTG